ATATACATATAACATTTAATATGTATTTATGTGCATAACATTTTATGGGTTCCCTAGCCTCTGAAAACCCACAGTACGGTTTGGAGAACTCTCCATTTGGCCAGAGAGTGTTTGTGCGCGTTTGGGTTATCTCTCCTTAAAAGATGACTGAAATAGGCTCTGCGATCCTCTTTCATGAGATGCACGAAGCCCTATCAGGTGAAGCAGCTATTTCTCGCCGAGTTTTGAGACGAAAATCATTAGACTTAAAAGGAATTCGGAACGGGGCGGGGGGGGGGGGGGGGGGGGGGGGGGGGAGTAAAACGCAGGTGTTTGTGTCTCCAAGCAATCTCCCTGCACGCACAAGCGTTTCGTTTTGTGTTTTACAGGTTGTGCTTTGGTTACCCGTCAGGTAATTAAGATGCGTTGGTCTTCAAAATATTCCCCTCACCGCCCGATCCTGAGTGATAGTGAACATGGGGAGAGAGGACAGTAGTGAGATGAACGAGCCAGTGTAGGGAGGTGAGTCCATCTCAGGCTGGCTGCTCTGGCGTCTTGACCTTAGGGAGATCAGGTTGCCTTCTTCCCTAAGCCCCTTGACTTTGAATGGAGCGCAAAGGAGGAAGTGAAATTGGCGCCCAGCTGGTCTTGTGTTCCTCCAATATTTGCCCTGCGCTTATTTAGAAAAATCCTGGAAGAGGAGAAAGAAGAGCCATAGGTGCCTCCGCCTCTCAGCCAAGCGGATGCTGGGGGTGAACTGGGGACCCCCCCCACTGCCCCCGCAAAGGCTGTCCCGTGCCTCCTGGGCCCCGGCACATATTATTCACCTTCCTGAAATGAGTTCAGGTTAGTCCAGTGTTCTTGCTCACCCCCCTTTAAAATCGTGGTAAAATAGCCGTCACATAAAATTGACTGCCTTAACCATTTGCAGGTGTACAGTTCAGAACACTTCGTATAAGGACATTCACCCTGTCTGTGCGTCCGTCCCTCCATCCAGCTCCAGCTTTGTTTCTTACAAACGCCCCTTCCCTCCTCCCCGAAGCCGCCGGTGATCGCGGTTCTACTTCCTGTTTCTAGGGTTGGCGTGCTCTAGGGACTTTCGGCAGGTGGAATTAGACACAGGGCATTTGACCTTTTGTGACCGGCCTATTTCACTTAGCACGGCGTGGTGTCCTCAAGGTTTATCCATGTTGTAGCATGTGTTGGAATTTCCTTCCTTTTTAAGGCTGACTAACACCCCATTGGATGTACAGTCCACATTTTGGTGTGTCCACTCATCATCCATCAAGGGTCACTTGGGTCATTTCCACCTGGTGGCCATTGGGATAATGCTTCTGTGAACACGGGCGTGCAAACATCTCTTTGAGACCCTGCTTTCGGTTTTTTGGGATTTGTATCTAGAAGTGGAATGGCTGGGTCGTATGGTAATTCTATTTTTAATTTTCTGAGGAACTGTGTTCTGTACTTTTCCATACACAGCGCCGTGCCGTTTTGCATTCCCACCAACAGTGCACGTGGGCTCCAGTTTCTTCCCAGCCTTGCCAACCCGGTTTTTTCCCTGTGTTTCAGATAGTATTCATGTAGTAGTCTCCTTTCTAGAAACTTCTCAGCAATCAGTTAAGACAGTCCTTGTAGATGCTGAGGAGAGTTCCTGGGAGCCTACTGCTGGGTGGGGCTATGATCCTGTCATTGGCTAAGAATTTACGGAACAGATTCCCTTCTTTCCAAATGGAGATATTTTCAGATCTGCAAATACATTATTCAGTAGAAGGGGTAACTAAAGATACCAAGTAACTTCTGATTATTTGTGGTGGGAGAATCACACCAGGCACGAAGGAAAGATCACAGGACCAGGAATCAGGAAGTTCGGGGTCCCGCTCCATCTCTGCGAGTCGGGGAGCACTCCCTGTCACTTTCCATTTCGGGGCTTATTTCTTCCAAACGAGGTATCAGAATAACAACCGAGGGCCCTGCCGCCTTCGAAATCTTCAGATTCTGCACAATAACCTTCAATTTGCTCGCTGACAAGCGGGAGGGGTGCTTTGTTCTTGAGGGCAAGACAGCAGAGCACCCTTTAGTCTGAATTATTAAAGATGCGCCTTCAGGCTTTATCTTGGAGCCATCGGACCTTGCAGTTGTCTAGGCTAATGTTCTCATCTTACAGATAAGAAGCTGGGGTGCGGGCAGGTGGGAATGGTCTGGTTGTGAACTTTCTCTCTGTTGGGGATATGGCATGCTGGCCGGGGCAGGGTAGGGTGGGGGGTGCATGAGCAGCGGCCGGTCCTTAAGTTTCCTCGTCTGAAAGGCCTCGGCGTTGTTGGGAGAATTACTCGAGCACCTGGTCATGTGAGAGAATCATACAAAAATGTTCATGCTGCTTCCACTTGGCTGCAGAGTTAGAGGCTTACCCCCCTTGGGGAGCCCTGTACGTTAAAATCTACATTGAACATTGAGGCAGTGTTTTTTGTTGTTGTTGTTTTGGGTTTTTTTTGTTTGTTTGTTTTTGTTTGTTTGTTTTTTGGTAAAATAATTCCCTAGAAGAAGGATCAGGGTTCTTCACCCTGGCTGGCTCGGTTGGAAGAGCCTGTGATGTGACTCTTGATCTCGGGGTCGTGAGTTTGAGCCCCACGTTGAGCATAAGGCTTCCTTAAACCCCAAAACAAAAACAAGATGTATCAGGGTTTCAAGGAAGCCTTTTTCGCATTGCTCATCTCTTCAGGAACGGTCTCCTCTCCCCTATCACACGAAGTCAGTTAGCTTGCACGGTCACGCAGAAATTGTGCCATTTTCTATTTTTATGTGCACGTGACTTGCATTAGCAGTGGGGGCCGGTGCATCGCGCAGACCTCGTCTGTAGGTTTTGTTCGTTGCTGTTAGGGCTCTGGCCTGTTCTAAATTAGCCTTAAATCAACAGTTTGTGTTTACCCCCTGCCTGCAGGGCTTTTGACCGACCAGCATTGGGCCTCAGTTTCCTCATTTGTAAAGCGGGGGGGAGGGGTGCTACGATCACTTCTGCGCATGTCACAGGAGTTGAGTTGAGGCTTATAAAAGGTAGTTTTTGTTTTTTTTTAACTTGAAAAGACAAAGCTTGATCCTTGGCCTCAGGGACAATCTGGCTTCACCCAGTGACAGGAAAACCATAGGGCCAAATCGAGACACATCAGCGCAAGAAAGATCACAGGCCCGAACTGTGCTAACAGGTCAGGGACAGGTGTGCATGCGCAAGATGGCGGTCGCCGCGATCATTGTCAGGGACCTGAGGTGGGTGGGCTCAGCCTGGTCCCTCGCACCCCCACGGAGGGTGGGCGATCACTGGTGCATGATGGGTGGGAGGGAGGGTAAGGTCTTGGGGTCCGGCGTGCAGACCCTTCATGCTCAGATGCTGAAACCACGTGGCCTCATGAGGCCACCAAACTGCACAGAGAGGAGAGGGGAGTGCAGGTTTGACTGGGCCTACGCTTGAGGTCAGCTAAGCTGGGGAAGAGGGGGCCTGCAGGCTGGCAAGGAGGGAGCCCCCAACGGAGCTGATCCTGAGGGCGGGCCCCTAGGGGCAGGTGCCCTGAGGATGGTCCCTTGAGGGCAGCCACTTCTGAGGGCGGGCACCTGGGGGCGGGCACCTGGGGGCGGGCACCTGGGGACAGCCGCCTCTGAGAGCTGGAGTCCCACTTGGTGGAGCGAGGAGGAGTGAGTGGTGGAGGGGGGCTGTAGGGATGGCCCTCGGGGGCCATGGGCCAGTCTGAGGTGTCGGAGTCCCATCGGGCACGTGACAGGGCCAGACCGTGGCAGCGGAGGGTGGGCTCTGCCCAGGTGGGCAGGTGAGGAGCAGCCCTGAGGCGGTCGTGGGAGCCAGAGCAGGGCGCCAGCTCCTGGCCAGTCCTCTGTACCGAGCATCTCCCTGCCCGCTCACCTCCACTTCCTCCTCAAGGTCCCCTTTCGGGCTGGTGTCTAGTCTGCACCATCATTGGCAGCCGCCACTTAGTCTTCCACCTTCTGGCTGTTTCTTGTCAGTCGGCACATTGTTATCATGATACTTTCTCGAATTCATGGATCGAATCATCATTTTGTCATTCCCGGATCTGCGGTGGCTTCACGTTGCCAGCTAGAAACGTGTGGACCTCCCGGCGTGGCTTAAACTCGCATCCTTCCCTGCATGTTCTCTGTCACGGGTACAGCCCACTGCGGGGCTCTGCCCACCTTTTCCCTCCTTGCCCGCCTGGTGTGGCCCCTCCGCCCCTCAGTCCTGGCCCTTAGCGTGTGCCTGAAACAGACAGAGCCACACTGCCATACTTAGTTCCTTGTGTTTTACTTCTGTCTCCTTCATGAGCCTGTGAGTCCCTTCAGAGGACAGGGACTTGGTCTCTTGTGTCTCTGTGTCCCCACCACCAGGTCCTTTGTGGAGGAAATGCCCGGGTGTTTGCTGACCGGACTTCAGCTGATTAGCTGGGCAGACAAACCAGAGTGTTTGGAATGAATGTCTCGGGGAATCGTGGGCCAGGGTCAGAGAGACAGACCGTGACTGGGATGGAAATGGTTGTAAAGGAGTCATTGTCTTTCCTTCTCAAGCAAAAATAGTCACTTTTTTCTTCTCATGTTATTGACTATCTACTCTACTTGGCATGGTGGGCGATAGATACTAAGACTGTAGCAAATACAGTCTCTTTTTTCAAGTTTTACGATTTCGTGTGTAAAACCTACATGTGATGACAGAGCGAAGCTGGCAGGAGCCGCAAGGCATCGCTGGGCCCGGAGGGGAAGAGCCCGGTGTTAACAGATGCGTTTCTGGGGCTGCCGGGGTGGAGGTTTGCGGGCTTGCTGACCGCGTGGGGGGTAGATGGGCAGTGGGGGGGGTGTGGTGGAGCCCATTCCCTGGAACAAAATGACGCGAACAAGGTGTGCAAGTCACACGTGTAATTCATGCGTGTGACACAATAACGCGCCCATTTGGACCGGCTCTCGATGGACGGCCTTCTCTGAGTTAATTGTGTGTCCGCATGTGGGTTGTTTGTGTCTCTGTTTTCCAGGCTCAAACCATGAATTACGTGGGGCAGTTGGCCGGCCAGGTGTTTGTCACCGTGAAGGAACTCTACAAGGGCCTGAATCCTGCCACCCTGTCCGGATGTATTGACATCATCGTCGTCCGCCAACCCAACGGGAGCCTTCAGTGCTCCCCTTTCCACGTGCGCTTTGGGAAGATGGGCGTCCTGCGCTCCCGAGAGAAAGTGGTAAGAGCCTAGGACCCGGTGACCTGCGGTGCAGTTTCTCTCTCCAGAGAAAACTTGTCGTATCTTGTCTTTGGACTGAGCTTTAGACCGCTGGGATTGTGGCTCTGCACTGGAAGCAGTTGGTCCCTGAACTGACAAGTATATTAACTCATATCATGGCGTTAAATCACTCCAAAACGTAGTGGCAAAAACCAGCTATTTCTTAAGCTCCTGGGTCTGGTGGGTCAGAAATTCAGACCACGTGCGGCCGGGCTGGTGTTTCTCTGCCCTCTGAGGTCTCAGTTGGCAGACCCCGTCCAAAGATGCGGTCACTCCCATGGCTGCCGGCCCCAGGCGGGGCCCTCGGCTGAGAGTGTTGGCCAGAACGCCCACATGTGGCCTCTGCACATGGCCTGGGTGGCCTCACAACATGGTGACTGGATATAGTGTGAGCATCTGCGGAGGAAAGGAGCCATGTGGAATCTGCATTCTTCTGCTGACCTGGACTTGGAAGTTCCATAGGGCCACTTCTGTTGGGCTTCTAGCTGGGGGCAATCGCAAGCCTTCCCGGGCTCAAGGTGGGGGATGGAGGCAAACAGACTCCACTTCTGATGGGGAAGAGCACCTAAGCCGGGCCTGAGTGATTGAGATTTGGAATTGTGAGATCATTTGGGGATGTATGTGAGTAAAATACCTGTATGTCGAGACTCGCCCCCCGGAGGTTTCCTGTTGTGGTGACGAGTGTTTTTCTTTCAGGTTGACATAGAAATCAACGGGGAATCTGTGGATTTGCACATGAAGCTGGGAGACAACGGAGAAGCGTTTTTTGTTCAAGAGACTGATAATGATCAGGTAGGACGGCTGGGTGGTCAGCGTTACTTCCTAGTTTTGCGTTTTGAGCGATGCTTATCTGGAGGACACAGCGGAAGTTTGTGTGGAGAAGTAATGCTGTGCTGGGCCCTGTAGCCCGTCGTGGCAGAGAAGGGTGGCTGTTTCCCCTGACCGGGGGTGTTGGAGCCCGACAGGGTGGGTGCGTGCTGTGTCCACACAAGGCCTGGCAGTCCTGACCCACCTCTGTGTGCTCACCGCGTCCTAGGAAACCGGAACCAAATGTCATCCAAGCTGTCGTCCAGAGTGTACAGGTTACACTGGTATGTCAAATCCTGGAGGGCTGGATGTTCTAAGTTGTGTTTCGTGAGTGGCCAAATCCCTTTTCTTTTTCTTTCTTTCTTTTTTTTTCTTTCATAGTTTATTATCAAGTTGGTTTCCATATAACACCCAGTGCTCATCCCCACAAGTGCCCTCCTCCATGCCCATCACCCACCTTCCCCCGCCCATCAGTCCTCAGTTTGTTCTCAGCACTCAAGAGTCTCTCATGGTTTGCCTCCTCCCTCTCCCCAACTATTTTTCCCCTTCTCCTCCCCCATGGTCCTCTGTTAAGTTCCTCCTAATCCACTTATAAGTGAAAACATATCATATCTGTCTTTCTCTGCCTGACTTATTTCGCTCAGCATAACACCCTCAAGGTCCATCCATGTTGCTACACGTGGCCAGAGTTCATTCTTTCTCATTGCCATGTAGTATTCCATCGTATAGATGAACCACATCTTCTTGACCCATTTGTCAGTTGATGGACACTTAGGTTCTTTCCATGATTTGGAGAGTGCTGCTATGAACATTGGGTGCATGTGCCCCTATGCATCAGCACTCCTGTGTCCCTTGGTTTATTTTTTATTTTTTAAAAGATTAATAGTTTTATTAATTCGGGCACCATGTGATTTATCCATTTCTAGCAGACGATTCGGTGTTTTTCAGTATTCTCTCTCATAAGACATGTGCAACCATCACCAGGAATTTTAGGACATTGTCATCACCCCAGATAGAAACCTTGCACCCTTCATCTGTCACCTACCTGCCCGCAAGCCCCCATTCCTTCCTGAGCCCTAAGCAGCCCCTCTTCTTCCTGTTCGTATACATTTCCCTCTTCTGAACGTCCATACGAACGCCATCTTACAGTGTGTTGTCGTCTGTGCCTGGTTTCTCCCACTTTGCATGTGTTGTGGGTCCATCTGTTCCTTAGCCTGTGCTGGCAGGATAACAGCCCATGGTTTCCACGCACCCCATTTTGTTCATCCCTTCATGTGCCCCTGGACATTTGGGATGTTTCTGCCTTCTGGCCATGATGAATAATGTCGCGCTTTCGTGTGGACGCGCATTTTCGTTTCTCTCGGGCGTGTACCTAGGAGTACAATTGCTGTGTCACGTGGCCACTCTGTGTTCAGTGTTTGAGGGCCTCCCAGACCGTGGTCCAAAGCTGGGCACCATTTGATGTTCCCACCTGAAGTGCATGAGAGAGTTTTGATTTGTCCACATCCTCATCAACCCTCGCTGTCTGATTGATTCCAGCCATCCTGGGGGCGAAGGGGCAGCTCATCGTGGGTTAGTTTGCGTCTCCCTGATGACTAACGATGCTGAGCCTCTTCTCATGTTCTTATTGGATACATTTGTGTGTCTTCTTTAGTATATATTTTTAAAGTTTATTTATTTGGAGAGAGACAGCGCACGCAGGGGAGGGGCAGAGAGGGAGAGAGAGAGAATCTCAGGCAGGCTCTGCACTGTCAGCGCAGAGCCCGATGTGGGGCTCGAATCCACAAAACCGTGAGATCATGACCTGAGCCGAAACCAAGAGTCGGACGCTTAACTGACTGAGCCAGCCAGGCGCCCCTGTGTATCTTCTTTAGAGAAATGTTTAGAGAAAAGATCTTCAGATCTTTTTTAAAATTGGGTTTTGGTCTTTTTATTATTGAGTTGTTAAGAGGTCCTTAGATATGTCTGTTAGCTTTCTTGATGGTGTCCTTTGAAGCACAAAACTTAAATTTTGATGGAATCCATTTTATATCTTTTTGTTTTCTTTCCTTGTGCCTCCTTTCGGCGTCCTAGCTAAGAATAATGACGATTCACCGCTATGTTTTCGTCTAAGACAAACCGCTTTTTAGCTCTATCTTTCATTGAGAAAGCCACATTGAAGGGATCCTGGGTTGTGATTCCTTTGTAGAATCCTCTTAGATGAGTTCCTTTACGGGAAGACAGCAGCTTTCTGGAAAGGAGCCGATCTCAACAGCTCCGGGTTCTACAACACATGCCCGTAGTTTTAGTTTCAGAATACAACTGTCCCAGGCTCTGCTTCCTTTCCGTGTCCCCATCAGAGGACCAGCATCTTCCATCCTCCCTCCATCTTCTGTAATAACCCATGGCCGGTGGGGGGTGGGGGTGGGGGAGTCCCTGCCCACCTTTGCCTTCCTATTCAAAGGGAAGGCTCTGAGAAGCGTTAAGTCATAATTACTGATTCTTTCCATCTCACATGGATACTTGCATTTTAAACTTCTGCTGCCCCTTAGCTCTGGACAGATTTACCCTGTGAGGGCTGAAGAAGCACTTCGGGCGAGGCTGTGGTGGACGCCATAGACCTGTGGGCCTGCTGTGCTGGCCTTGACAGTGCCCATGGGTGGGACGGGGCTTCGCAGATCACAGTGCGTTCCTCCCCTCACTCGCACCTCTGGCGACCCCTCGAAGGCCACCGGAAGCTAGGAAGCCTGTGTCCCTCATCTCAGGATTGTTCCAGGGTACGGTCTCCCCTCCACCTGTGGGATCTGCTTCTCCCCTGTCCAAGCTGTGGACCGTTCTTTGCTCTTAACCCCGTGTCAAGGCCGTCTACATTTCTTCTTTGGCCCTCTGAGCGGCTGGGTGATATGACCTCTCCCTTCCCCCTCTCCGGCCTAAGGCTTCATCTCTCAGATATTCATTTTATAAGTGCAGCACATCGCGTGTTCTCTAAGAGTCAGCCCCATGTTTTCTTTGAGAGAGAGAGAGAGGGAGAGAGACAGAGCACAAGCAGGGGAGGGGCAGAGAGAGAGGGAGCCCCCGAATCTGAAGCAGCTCCAAGCTGTCAGCTCAGAGCTGGCTGAGGGGCTCTAGCTCATAAGCTGTGAGATCAAGTCTGATGCTTAACTGACTGGGCCACCCAGGCGCCCCTGTATATATTCTTGACTTCTTGTTACCGAGTATGGCATACTAAATAAGTCATCCATTAATACGGTGATCGTTATGGTTTTTTAAAAACTGCTAAATCATTTTTAAACTGTTAAATTGACAGGCTTGTGTTTTTTCCTTTTGTTTTTAAGAAGAGAGTCAGCATCTAATCAACAGCCGTTACCTGGGTGTCTGCTCCCTTGTTGGTGGGTTTGGGGATGGGGGTTGTCAGCTGGGTTTATGTTTTTTAAATTACTATCATCTTAATTCAGTGCATAATAGAAAATTCAGGGGCGCCTGGGTGGCTCAGTCGGTTAAGCGTCCGACTTCGGCTCAGGTCATGATCTCGTGGTTCATGAGTTCAAGCCCCGCATCGGGGCTCTGTAGTGACAGCTCAGCCTGGAGCCTGCTTCCAGTTCTGTGTCTCCCTCTCTCTCTGCCTCTCCCCCACTCACGCTCTGGCTCTCTCTCTCTCACAAACAATGAATAAACGTTAAAAAAAATTAAAAAAAATACATACACATTCCTTCTCTCTTTTATGCACACACACCCACACTGAAATGCAAAACTGAGTCCAGTTACTAGGGTAATATGATGACTCAAAGTCCATGTCTCTCCTCTTTTTTTGGGTACTTGAAACACAGCTGACTCTTGGTGGCCTGAAATCACTAGTTATCTTGCTTTGTTACAATTATGAAAACGCAGGATTCAGTACAAATGACATTGAGTGCACCGTTGACTTTGTGGTTGGCTATCTGGTCCGGCTGCCGCACTGCTGTGGTGGTGGCGACTGGCCGGCCTGCCCTGCAAGGCCTTCCCCCAGGGTGCTCGGGTAACCCCGGCTGGCCGTTAGCAGCACCCTCCTCATTAAACTCAAAGTGATGAGACTCTGAAAACTGTCTTGTCCTGTAGGAAGTGATCCCCATGTACCTGGCCACCTCGCCCATCCTGTCTGAGGGAGCCGCCCGCGTGGAGTTCCAGCTGAAGAGGAACTCTGTAGATTGGAGCCGAAGCCTGGACCCCAACCCGGCAGCCCAGGCCTCCCCTCCCAGCGAGGCCTCTTCAAGCAGCTCGTTAGTGAAGAAGAGAAGAAAAAGGAGGAGAAAGTCGCAGCTGGACAGCCTGAAAAGAGACGACAACGTGAACACCTCTGAGGATGAAGACATGTTTCCCATAGAGATGAGCTCGGACGAGGAGGCCGACCCGCCGGACGGCAGTAGGTAAGTGCATTCGAGAGGCGGGACCTGTGTCCCAATTGGGTGCATTGACCCGTTAAGGTGATTCTTGCAAACTCTTCTTTTCCCCCAGAATTCCTTGTTCTCATGGTAATGGATTTTAGGTGGAGTTAAAAAAAAGGTTTTTTGTAATGTTTTTAAATTTATATTTGAGAGAGAGAGCATGAGCAGGGGAGAGGCAGAGAGAGAGGGAGACGCAGAATTGGAAGCAGGCCCCAGGCTCTGAGCTGTCGGTGCAGAGCTGGATGCGGGGGCTTGAACTCATGAACCGTGAGATCATGACCTGAGCCGAAGTCTGCCGCTTAACCGACTGAGCCACCCAGGCGCCCCATTTTAGATGGAGTTTTAGAATTGTGTGGACCCAGCCTTAAAGTAGCAACGAGATTTGAGGCAGCTGGTAGTAACAGACCTCCTGGTAACTTCGACATCCAGGACAGAGCCAAGGACCAGAGAACTGTGCAAACTGACGCTTCATGCACCAAACCATAGTTTCAGAACCTGGGTACTCTTTATTTTTTAATTTTTTAAATTTATTTTGAAAGAAAGAGAGAGAGAGGCTGAGAGAAAGGGAGAGAGAGAATCCCAAGCAGGCTTTGCAGTGTTCTCACAGAGCCCGATGCAGGGCTTGATCTGTGAGATCGTGACCTGAGCTGAAAACAAGAGTCAGACACTTAACCAACTGAGCCACCCACGTGCCCCGGAACCTGCCTCCTCTTCTCTGGGCACCAGCCGTGTCCCCGGCAGTTGGGCTGACTTACAGTAGGGACTGATCTGTGATAGACTTCAGGTTACAAGTACGTGTAGAACGTCACCAATTTTCCCTCCAAACTTTCCCTTTTTCAGTTTTGATTAGGCCCAAGGTTTAATGGTCATCTTGTTCGACTTTGCTTTGCTTTTAGCAGTACGGTGACATTCTGCTTCTGCGTATTACGATGTTGTCACTGCGAGTTTTAAAAGAGAAAAACTCATTTGTAAAGCATGCTTGATGTTTCAGATTTTTATGTAGCTCAGTATCATTTTTGACAACTATTTTTGTATCTTGTTAGCATAAAGAAGGGATAAGGGACATTGGGAGTATCCCTCTGCTTCATTATTCAGAATAGGATTTTTTTTTCCCTTGGCTAAAAATACAGGCAGATTCACAATGGCCCTTTTCCTAACTATAGCCTCTAGTCTGCTATAGACTCAGAAACTGGTGGTTGGTCTTATTATAGTTGTCATGCCTGTGTGGCTTTTAATTCCAGAAGTTAGTGGTAGATGTCTCAGGGAACACCAAAAATATGGACAGATGGCCTCTGTGTGAGTGAAATAGTGCATCCTATTTAAATTTTTTTTAATGTTTATTTATTCTTGAGAGAGAGAGAAAGAGAACAAGCAGGGGAGGGGTGGAGAGAGAGGGAGACACAAAATCCAAAGCAGGCTCCAGGCTCCGAGCTGTCAGCACAGAGCCCCGTGTGGGGCTTGAACTCCCGAACCTCAAGATCATGACCTGAGCTGAAGTTGGACGCTCAACCACCTGGGCCACCCAGGCTCCCCGCACATCCTAATATTTAGTGAATGCATCCTACCTGAAACAAGGTGGATCTGCAATCATTTTATAATTATAAGATTCCTTTGGTTTATATCACTTATTTGTTCTGCCGGATGAAGTATTATCACGGACACCTCCGTCCGTGAACAGCGAGACCTTTACAGCCTCCCGGGTCCGGTTTCGGTGCCGTAGTGTAAATAGCAGCCTGTGTAGCCATCACGCACGTCTCTCAGTCCAGGCGCTCGAATACAGTCACTTTACATTTACTGTTCAGCCAACGCACAAAACATGTTTGTATGTGTGTCTGCCTCGCTTTCTCCCTCTCCACTGCTTGGACTACGCCTGGGTGTTAGAAGGAGATCGTGTTACTCCATAAACAATTTACAGATAATCAGGATAAAATGGAAACTTCCCTTTATTATGGATCTATCGCTAATAATTCCTTGACTTTAGTCTTTTTTTTTTTTCCCCTCCAGAACTCTTCCTAATGACATACCTGCATTCCAACAAGATGTTGCTGAGGAAAGCCCTTCCCCCGTCATGACTTACCCTCAGTCAGCATCATATCCTAATTCTGATAGAGAGTGGTCGCCCAGTGCAAGGTAGGTTGCTGGGGGAAGCGTGTGCATTCATGCACCCTCGTCCAGAGGATTTGAAGTCACTTATAGGAAGTGCGTTTAATGAAATGGTGAAATATAAGTAAAGAGTGAAAAAATGTAGTTTAGAGCAGGATTGAAAAGGACACGGGCAGACCATCAACATCTATGTGATACCCCAGTCAACCTGCAAATACGGCTCTGGGCTCCCCGCACGTGACACTGAAGTTACTCAGTGCTAAGTGTCAGTGGGAGAAAACAGGTGACTGAGCCTTTCTTGACACTTAGCTCTCAAATAAGGTTCGGGAACAAGCCGCTGCCCTAGGCACCACCGAGGTGGCTCTGGGCTGTTAGAACGATGCCCTCTCCCCATGCGTAATCCCTTCTGCCGAGTTCAAGGGTATTTATTTTCCTGACAAGAAGTCTGAAGTCCCCTAAAATCCGGTATAAATGTGGAGAACCAGAACCGCTCAGCGTGCAGGGTACCATCCCGAAGGCTCCGGAAACTTCTGTCAGTGATAACTCTGAGAGTACGTGAGCCCCTCTGAGCACTTTTCAGAAGAACTGGGGAGGGGGCAGATGGAGACCGTGTGCCCTCAGCAGGGACGGTGTCACCCCCATCGGGACCAAATAGTTGGTTCCTGGGCAGCAAAGGTTCTTAGATGTTATAATGGCTTGTGGCCTCTGGAGGGGTCACAGCACATAAGCAGATACACAGTCTGTCCGTGGTATTAAAAGTTCACAGTGGAGGGAGGGCCACTGGGGGAAAAAGTCTCGAATGTTCAGAGGTGTGGTAACACTGATCACTGTCCCCGGGACAGTGACATCCCTGGGTCATTCTTGCTCCTAATGTGTTAGATGTACTGGGAGTTTATGTGGAAGTATAGGAGGCCCTGCTTCGTGCCAAAAGCTAGAGTCCACCAGACACATTCCTCGTTCAGGTTTCTCTCAAGTGACCTCGCTAATGAGACAGCAAAGTCAGCAGCATGCGCTGGAGTCGAAGTCACAGAAAAATAGATACGTCCCATGCCTGTTTCCAGCCAGGACCGTGACAGCGAGTGTTAGCCAGCCAGAGTGGGGGCTGGGGCCCCGGGAGGTCTCCTGGAGGTCTGTCTGCAGACCAGCCCCATGCAGTAGATGCATATTGCTCGCTGCATATGTCCTTTATAATAATCTAGGAGCCATCCTTAAGAGGTTAAAAGAAACTGATGGAGTTCATTTTTATATATTTCCTTTGACCCAGCATATCCAAAATATCATCAAATAGCTAGCTTTCAGAAAGTTATTAGTGAAAGATTTCGCAGTGTGTATGATCATTGTGAATTTCACATGTACGGACCCTCTCAGTTTGGATGTGTCCTACTTCGAGAACATGGCAGCCATGTGTGGCTCGTAGCTGTTGTGATGGACAGTGCGGATGTTGTCCATTGTCTCCTCCATTGTCTCCCTAGGTCTGTGGAGATGAACCCTAAGGGAAAAACACGGCACTTTTAGAAGAAAATTATGTGGAATACTTAGAAACCACGAAGGGGTTTAAAAAAAAATCTGTTCAAATGCCCTACATTAGTTTTAAGAATTCAAAATAAATGTTTTATTTTATTTTTACATTTTGTTTATTTTTGAGAGAGTGAGCGAGCAGGAGAGGGTTAGAGAGAGGGAGACAGAGGATCTGAAGCAGGCTCTGTGCTGACAGCAGCGAGCCCGATGCGGGGGCTTGAACTCACAAAACCATGAGATCATGACCTGAGCCAAAGTCGGTCGCTCAACAGCCTGAGCCACCAAGGTGCCCCCAAATAAATGTTGTAAACACACCTCCGGATATGTTTCTCTTTCATGTGTTCCTGTCTGAATCCGGAACAACGACCATGTCGGATCGTGTGGTCCGGTGCAATTACAAATTAGGATAAATAGATCCATTTCCATATTTGAAATGATGTATTTTCTTTAAAGAGATAACTGGCAGCAGCAGAGTTGACCAAATAAATCTTTGGAGTATACAGCTTGATTAAGCACCAAATTCTGACCCGAGAAAAACCATCATTTACGGGCATCAGGATGAAAGAGAAAGTGAAATGAGTCTTTTGGGCAGTTTCCTGTTCTCGTGGTTCAAAAAATTGATGTTGATTTCCTAGCGATTTCAACAGACGGTCCCCTGCCCTCGTCAGATGCCGCAGTGCGTTCCTTTTCTTACAGATGTGATTGTGCAGAGTTAGGCAGAGAATTGATGTGAAATTTAATTTAATTGACCTATGATTTTTCTTTCTTTTAATGTCCATCACGTGGTATCCAGTAGCCCGCTAGATTGCCAGAGGACTGGCCCCCACCTGGTAGTTGTGGCCGAGGGAGGCCTTTCTAGCTCTTGCCCTCCGCAGCCTTCTCACTGCTATGCTCCGGAAAGGTAGAGGGGCCTTTTTACCCACTTGGATGTCTTCCCTAATAAAACCTCTGCTCTAACCCTTACTTAAACGCCTGTTTACCATTGACCAAATTACTTACGCAGAAAACACACAGAGATGATATAAGCGAAAATTTGGATCTAACTCTTACAAATCTGTTTGACTAACCAAATTACTTCTGAAGAGGAGACACAGAGATGATTATTTTCCTTTGGTGTTTTTAAGCATCTGTAGATTATTAGATTTTTTTTTCCCACTACTAAATTTGGTTTCTCTGCAAACTAATGATTAAGCAGAGAGCCCTTCCTAATTTTGTGGAGTGCTTGGCAAAACAATAATGACATAAAAATTGGGAATACGATCTTTGTTTTGTCTCGAGGGTTGTTCAGCAAAGAAGTTTATAAGACCTTTCATGTGAGGGGAGTTATTATAATTCCTTTCGATAGCTTTTGAGACTTCCTGAGTAATGCAATCGTGTTTCCCCAGCATTTCGAGAATATGGAATTTTTGAGACTAGCATGGGGGGGGGGGGTTCTTAAGGTTTAAGATTGCATAGGTTTGTATTTTCATCGGATGCCATAGTCTGAGATTTCTGCCTTCACCCCTTCTGAGCTGCCTTAACTCTAAGCTACACGGTGGATTTACATGGCTTCCTTTATAAAGGTTAACATTGAAGCTATGACTAATTTCTACGTGGGAAACTGTTTTCCTTTGGGATTAAAGAACCAGTTCTCAGGAGGTGCTTCATTTGGAGGTTTCATGTGCCCAGGAAAGGTGATTTTAGAAGGAGGTCCATGACATGGTGAACAGTTAACTTGCCTCCCTGGGGCTGGCAAAATCCTGAAGGCCGTTAACAGTGTTACTAAATGCATTACTTGTGAAAATCAGCCATTGACCTTGTAAACTTACTTTTTTGAACAACCCTTGATCTTAAAAGTCTATTATTTGATGGTGGGAAGCTTTGGAACCCCCCATTCTTCCATTCCGTCACACTCAGCGTTGGGAGTCTTCTCCCGGAACACCGTCCGTGAATCCAGATTCCACAGAGCGTGCGCATGTATTTGTGTACAGAAGGCTTTGGACAAAGGCTGGTAGTGCCCACGTGTCACCATTTACGTGGCGTGTTGAGCGGGAGAGATGGGACTCCTAGCTTCCGGCTTCCACACCGGGCTTGGTTCTCTGTGAATGTGAATTTGCGGCCCTGAATACCTCTCTGGAAACCGATGGCTTGTGGCGTCCATCAAAGGATCAGAGTATCAGGGAATCTGGAGTTGGTGCCGCAGGAGAACTGTGTTCAGCATTTGCCTTCTTCTCGAGCAGCGGTTGGCCGGCGAGAGCCGACGGGGCCACAGGCGGCCCTCCACCTCTTCTCGGGGTGCTGCGGGAGCGCGGCCAGTTTGTTTCCGTGTCATCTGTGGCCGCGTCGGTGCTACGATGGCCGGACCGTGCGGTTCTGACAGAGATCGCGGAACCCACGAAGCTTGAGCTGTCCGCTCTGGCCTTTCACACATGAAATCTGCTGGCCCCTCCTCCTCCAGAGCAAGTTCAGTCTCAAGGGCTTTACTTAATTTCGTGCAGTGGGTGAGACAGTTTCTTCTTCCACAGAACTTATAACAACATATAAGTATTTTATGTGATAAATAGAGCAGCAGGAGCGTGTGAAGCGACTTGAGCTCGGGGTGCAGTGCTGATGAGGACAGGGGGCCAGTCGGGGTGCAGTGTTTCCGTGCAGGCGGTCGTAGGCACGTGGGAGGGCACGACACCCCCTCTGCCCATTCCACCTGCAGTGACTGTGTAATCGTGGGCACACAGTGCCCGGAGAGCGTTGGCCCTTTGGAGAGAAGCATAATTACTGGACTAGAGGGAGCAAGAGAGGTGAGAAGGTGACGGGCGTGTTACCACTCAGATGAACGGAGCGCTCACTTCCTCTCGTGGGACCACTTCCCAGGGGGTAGGAGAGGGGGTGTCCGGAGGCGTGCCCCGTGGCGCGCACACTTCTAGTCCACACGCTGGTGAAGGAGCGCGCGAGGGCCACACCGCAGCAACGTACCGCCCAGATGGTTAGGCGGGCAGTGGGCACCGTGGGCTGTCGATGAACCAGCCTGTGAGCACCTCGGTGTGACATGGAGGCGGGAGAGAGAGAGAGAGAGAGAGAGTGGCTAGTCCGGTCCAAATGGCCCAATGGACAGAGATCTGGGGACCGATTTGGCCATTGCGGGCTCCTGTCGGTTTGATACAAGTTGGGTTTTATCTGCGACTGCTCGTCCTGACAGGAAGGTGTATTCGGCTGGAGTTGAAATCTAACTCGGGTCCGTGAGGCCAAGCCTGGGGGCTGGTGGGGCATGGGGCTGGGGAAGAGGGTTAGTCCCAGCTTCATGCGGTACCGGCGTGTAACTGGTGGAAATGATGTGGGAGAATAAAGGCAGGGAGTGATCACAGGGGTATTTTTTCTCATCCGGGTGTTGTTGAGGTTACTGTGAGAAGTGAGATAGGATGTACTCTTGGCTGGACAGAGAGGGAAGGCTTCGTTCCGGTCCAAAAAGTAGACCTATGGAAAATAGAGAGGAGAACACAAATTCCAGCCCCTTAAAAGCTGGCCTGAGCATTAAGCCTCATGGTATGTTGCCACAGAACGAGCCTTAGCAAACAGGTGGATCTTTGAAGGATTCCTGGAAGATCTAATATTTTGTAAAATCTCAACGTAGAGGCTCCTGCCACGCTAGTGAGTTTATCTTTGGCCTTCGGCATTTGTGCAAAGTTGGCATGTGAACCAGTTCCCTGTTTTCAAAGCCAGTGCGGATTCATGTGTTAAATGTGGAATTTGATGGGGGCGTGGCTGAGAGAGGGGGGCCCCTTCGCCGCTGAGAGCTGACAGACTCGGGTTGGAAGCTGAGAACGCAGGGGAGGGGAGCTCAGGGCGAGGTGGGGAAAGGTGGGTGGTTCCGAGATGAGAGCAGACTCTATTTTTCCCCCTTTCTATTTTCATCTGTCTTTCCCGCAACTTTCCTTTCTAAATGCCTTCTCTCACCTTGGGGTTTGGAGGCAGGGCCCACAGGTTGCCCAAATTGGTAGCTCCTTCCCCCTGTCGCGCGTTCTGTGGCCCCCTGGTGGCCACAGGGGGGAATGTCGTGAAGCCTGTGTTCATTCTCTGGGCTGTTTGAACCATAGACTTCTGGGCCAAAAACATCTCAAAAAGTTTCCCTTCCCCGTTTAATCACGAATTTGTGTTCCGTTAAGCCCTTCAGGCTCCCGACCTTCAACACCGAAAAGTGATTCAGAATTGGTCAGTAAGGCCACGGAGAGGACGGTGCAGAAGAATAATCTGGAAATGCTCTGGCTTTGGGGAGAATTGCCCCAGGCTGCAAAGGTAAGCCCCCCCTCCCCGCCCCCCATCCCACCTCAGTTCTGCCGTACACCGAGGATGGTTTCCAAAAATCTTGAAATGGGCGTACTCTTTTCTCTCTAGAAAGTTTGTTTCATATTCCAGTCTACTAAAAGACATCTTGGGTATATTCCTATAAATTTTTAAAAAAATATTGTAAGGCCTTTAGAACACACTATAGCTTCTTGTGTCCCCAGTAAATATTTGTAATATGAATGAACGAAGGAACTAATGAAGGAGCGAACGTTGAAAGCACTCCTAGGAAGAATCCACACAAGCAGCTCTTAGGAGGGAAGGCCTATCGAGGTAGAGCTGTGGATTCTTTCCTTCTCTGGGTTATAGTTCGCTTTCATGAAAAATGCTGATTTCTCTGCCCACAAGCAGTAGTGCTGACCCAGCCAGCTGTCTTTACAAACTCATGTCATTTGCTGCCGGAGAAACGGCGTGAAAGTGCTAACCCATCGCTTCTGGCAGAACGCTTCCGACCACAGACGTGCTACAGCGTTGCGTTCGTTTGCACTAGAAGCTGTGAGATCGGATACACAAATGAATACCCCCCCTTCTCGCCCTAACCCATACATTGCATTTTGGGTTTTCATGTGGATAAATCTTTTCCAGAGCTAGAAACTCCTCGGAGAAGTAGGCTCAAATGTTAATTTCCCACTCCTGTGAACCGATCGCCAGTTCTTTACTAACTCACTCACATTTTGGGGGTAAACTTCATTAAACTGTGACATGCTTATGCCCAGAGCATAAGCGTGCAGGAAATAACATGTTCACACTGTGAGGGTGTCCGTGGGACTTGCACCCAGACTGAGAAGCGGGGCTTCACCCACTTCACCCAAAGCCTACCCTTTGTAGTTACCATTCACATTCACCCCCCGGAAAGACAAACAGCCTCCAGCGGAGGTTAGTTTGACAACATTCATCATGTTGTGTGTAGTTGTAATTCGTTGCTTGTCAATGCTGCAAACTACCCACCATGTGAATATACTTCCCATTCTACTGGTGGACATTTATTTGAGCATCTTTTTCTATTTGTTGGCCATTACTAGTCTCACTTACTTCTCCTTGGAAGTTTGATGTTATAGATGAGAGTGCATTTGCTGTGCACACGCTGGTTTTTCTAGAATCTTTTGGCAGGTATGGAAATTGTTGGGTGACTCCCGAGGGTGGTCAGTTCTGCAGATCGTTAGTTGGTGAATTGTGTTTCCCTAACTAACTCTGTTTTTCTGTTTGCCCACGCGCTGACCGTTCTGTCTGTCTGTCTCTCTCTGCCCCTTCGATCTAGTCATCTCCACACAAGATGAAAGACTGCAGTCCATTAAACAGTAGAAAAATCTGTGATAAGATGCACTTTCAGACCATTCAGAGTGAATCTTCAGATGCGTTCAGTGACCAGTCGCCGACGCTGGCCAGGCCTCCCGTGCCGCCCGGTTTAGAGTCGAGCAAGCCTCCAGCGGACATGCAGTTTGTGAACGAAGAAGATGTCGAGGCCTTAGGAGCTGCGGCCCCGCCTTTACCCACGATTGAAGACCCCAAGCCCCCCTCTGCCAGCGCAGCCCCGACGGCGAGCAAGACCGATTCTCCTTCAAGGAAAAAAGGTGGGAAGGCCGGTGGGAGCCAGCTCTTTGTGTGTGAACTTGGTGCCCTGCACGCTAGGGTTCCCTCTCTCAGGGGTTCCAAAGTCATCAGGGTGGGAGCTGAACTGGGGCAGCCGTCGTGTGCAGGGTGCTCCCTGTTGCTGAAGGTGTTAAGTTATTAGAATAGAGTTCTAGAAAATCAGATGACAGGAATCCTTGGGGGTGGTGCGGTGAGTCCCCCACGTTGTAGAGCGGGGTGCTGGGATCCAGAGGGATGAGGTCTTCACACACTTGGGGCTGTGTAGGGAGCTGATGACGGAGCTCATCGTGGCCTTTCTCTCCCTGCGCCGAGCTGCAGTCCATCCAGCACATTACCTGTTTTAATTTCTGCGAGGGCTCATTTCAGATGAGCATCTGTGCGTTTGCCTGTTTTTGCCGGGAACCCGCCTGCTAGAACATACGTGCTCTGTGAGATCAAGAATCTCTCGGTCTGGTTTCCTTTTGTTTCCTCTGCGCGCAGAATAGTGGTTGGCACACAGCAGGCACTCCATAATTGCTAGTCTGAGACACAGCTGGCTGCCTATCAGGAGGCACCGACGTCCAGCCTGATGTGTTAACCACGCAGCTCTGTGCAGTTTTCTGGATGGGTGTGAACCAGTGGGTGAACTCTGTGGCAGGGGTGAGCGGGAAGTCTGCAGTCCCGTGCGCCGTGACTGCCGTGTGCCGCGTGGGCTGCCGCGCCTGGAGTGCTGACCAGAGAAGGGCTTCCTTAATGACCGCTCTCGTCGTGTGATGATGATGGTGACAACGGGGGTTGCTTCAATATATCGCATGCCTAGACCGCTTTACGCCCTTCACACACAGGGGACAGAGACTCCTCAAAGTCCCATAACTTGGTCAGGGTCATCCCATTGGCGGTGATGGGGTCGCGTGCTGACTTGGGTCAGTCGGCCTCTGGGGTCGCGCCTCGGACTTCCAACTCTCGTGTTCTTGGGCCCGTGGGGGCACTTTTGCGCGCATCTGCACGTCATGCTTTAAATGCTTCCTAGAGCGACCCAGAAGCTGTGTTTCTGGAAGATGGGTGTCTGACTCGGCCCATGTGCTCTTTCAGACAAACGAAGCCGGCACCTGGGTGCTGACGGCGTCTACCTGGATGACCTCACGGATATGGACCCCGAAGTCGCTGCCCTGTATTTTCCCAAAAAGTAAAATTTACTTTCATTCCTCTGATCATTTTCTGTTAGTCAGTGTGGGTCTGGTTCCTTCCTTGCACTTGGTTGAAAAGCGAGTGAGCAAAGGGTGCGGGAGGCTCAGAGTTTACTGTGAGAAGCGACCGGTAACCCCAGTGGACTTCCTCCGGAGGCGCGCGTGTGGCCCTGTCTCCGGACGGTGGCTTCCCACCTCTGAGCAGGAAGGCAGGCACGCGGCTGCCCCCACGGTGACATGATGGTGGTGTCGCTGCAGCCGGCAGCTGCCCGGCCCCGTCCCGCCCCAGGAGAGGCTCCTCCGTGGGGCCCCTGTTCAGTCCTGTGACCAGCACGGAGGGCTGGCTCCTGGGAGGTCCTGTGACCTCACTGGACACCGTGCCTTCTCCTCCGTTCATGTCACACAGGCTTGGGAGGGGACCCAATGCTCGTTTCTCTCCGAAGGTTATTCGTTGAACTTGTTTCCTTTGTTTTGGTCCCGAGATGGCCTGCTTCGCTCCCTCGAGGGCTCTCGCGAGGCGGGAGTCATCTGATGTCCTTCGACCTCAGAACGTCTCCCCTCTCCCTCCTTCCAGCGGAGATCCTTCCGGGCTCGCGAAGCACGCCAGCGACAACGGCGCCCGGTCCGCCAACCAGTCCCCGCAGTCCGTGGGCAGCTCTGGCATCGACAGCGGCGTGGAGAGCACCTCGGACAGCCTGAGGGACCTGCCGTCCATCGCCATCTCCCTCTGCGGGGGCCTCAGCGACAACAGGGAGATCACCAAAGGTAACGCCTGGCCGCTCTGGCCGCGAAGCCCGTCCTCAAGCCACGAGCGCCCTCTTGTGGCCACCGGCTGGAACGTCCGGAAGCTTGGGCTCTAGTTCATGTCACAAGTCGCTTTCCGCTTGGCTGTGTCTGTGATAGCGCAAATGACTCCTTGTGGCTCAAGGCCCGTGTGTTGCTGGCTCGCAGGTGGCTGACCTGAGAACAGTCTGCTGTTCACGCATGGCTTCAGGGCCACTTGAGGTCAGGCATGTCTGCTGAGCACGAGGTGTCTCCTTGCCCTGAGCTCGCCCTGCAGAGGTGTCCTGGGGACCCAGTGGGTGTGTCAGTGGGTGCGGAAGCACAGAGCTTTGGAAGCATGCAGGGATGCTGTAGGGTCTTGGAGGAGGGAGGGACGTCTGAGTCTGAGCAAGTCCTGGGGCGCTTCCCAGCTGGGTCTGAAGGGTGCTCTCAGGCTTGGCGTAGGTGGTGAGTTAATTCCTAGCAGCTACCGTATTCATAATGACGGTTTTCCAGTACTCCAGTGGATGCACCAGCCGCCACCAACTGCCGAATTCCTTGCGTGGACCTAATAGCCCCGGTGTCCCTCTACCACCCACTGCCACTGTTCTCTCTTTTTCATCACCCCCCTTTCCCCCACCAATGATCGGTCTTTCCAGTAGGGGGTGGGGGAGGGTGTGCATTTCAGCCCCTTGCCGCTCACGGGCCACCGTCTTCCCTTCCTGCCCTGAGAAGCCGTCCGCGACTCCCGTCTCCATCCTCAGGTCCCTTCAGGGCTTTGTGCATTTCTTTTCAAGGCTGCGGCCCTTGATTCTGGTGCCCGAACCAGCCCATCCATCGCCCTGGTGAGGAACTGAAAGAAGTTGCTTAATGTGATCCAGCTGGTTTAGTCCATCACAGGAAGTCTTTCTAAGACCCCTGCCCACTAATAACCAGCCACATTATGTTTCCAAATCTCTGGTGCCAGCCTCTCTGAAGCCTTGAAGGGGGGGCGGTGAGCACTCTGTGGATGGGTGGGGGGTATGAGGAGGCTGGTGTTTGATGGTATCCCCTCTCTGGTACATGTGTACCCACTGTCATCTCATGGGGGTCCGCACAGAGGAGGCCAGATTCCCATGGCCGGGAGCCCCCGAGGAGAGTACCTAGTGGTATGAATTAGGATTCCAAAGGTACGTGTCGTGGCCAGTCTGAGTTGGCATCATGATCCGGGGTGACTCTCAGTGTCCTGGGCCTCCCCGGTCCTGGTTTTGTGCAGGGTATATAGGACCTCCCTAGGGGAAGGGTGGAACGAATCAGAGAGGTGGTCAGAGCCTTCCCTCATCAGGGCTCAAGACACGGCCCGGCTGAATGGGGCACCTCCAGGGGAGGCCGGGGCCTTAGGTCAGCGCTCGTTACGGAAGCCAGAGTCAGGGCTCAGGTCCAGGGGCTCCTGACCCTGTGCCCTTCCCGCCTCCCCGAGCGTGCTGGGGCTGGGTGGGCAGGGAGGGTCTGGGGCCAGCTTCTGCACCTGCAACGCGGGGCAGGGATCAGCACCGCGCCCCTGACCCTGAGTGAGCCCTCAGGACGCTGTGCCCTCCATTCACCCCTGAGGAAGCCGGCGCGGTTCTGAGCCCCATGCTACGTGTTACACACAAGGGGACCGAGCCTCGGGGAGGTTAAGTACTTGCTCACTACAAGCTCACACCAATAAATGGGACTTAACCTGAGTGGGCTGGTTTCCGAGCGCGCTTACCACTCCGCTGCTTCTGCAGACGCGTGTGCAGACGGCTGTTTCCCCTGCCTCACTCCCTGCGGGCTCGCCTCCCCACACCCTCCCGCTGCCGCCGGCCTCACTTCACTTCTGCACAGGCTCCGTCCCCAGAGCTAGCCGAAGCCCCTGTACAGGGACCTTGGGAGAGTTGTCTATACAGCTGGAAGACGCTTGTGAGCGAGTGAGTGGAAAGCGAGCCGACTCCTCCGAACGGAACGTCCCTTATGTCGGCTCCTCTTTCCCCCCGATTGCCTTCACAGATGCATTTCTGGAACAAGCTGTGTCCTATCAGCAGTTTGTGGACAACCCAGCTCTCATCGACGACCCCAATCTTGTGGTGAAGATCGGGAATAAGTAAGTTCCTCTGGGAAGTCCTTTCGGCCGTCACGTGGCACTGTGAGACTTTTACTGTTTTCAGATGCGGAGACCGCGACAATGAACCTTAGAAACATATAACCCTTAGATAAGTTATAAAATGAGGTCTTTGTTCACAGTTATTATTAGCTCCTCACTATTGGCATAACCCTGTGGTGTTATCTAGTTGGTAGGCTGACGTGGGTTTTCATGTTTGTCAGTACTAGATTTTGTAACAGAGGGTGCCCGATCTCAGCCCGTGGCGCCTGGGCCTCGGACCTGTGTCGTGCACGGGCGGGAACAGAATAGACGGCGTATGACCCCAGCTTCGCTGTCTCAGGTCACGGCATGTGCAGGTGTTTTTGTAGCCTGTTGGCAAGCTTTCTTCCCTGACGGGAGGTCAAGGGCGTTTAGGTATTAACTTGGGGAACCCGGTTGCCTTTTCTGTGAAGTGTGGCAAGAGATGCCACAAGCACACAGGTGGCTCAATGTGCCGTGGTGCTCAGCACAGTGGCCGCCACGTCTGCCTGTCTGTGCTTGGCCCCTGGGACTGGCTGCTGTGAGTCAGCAGGGCGAGGGGGCCCCGCCAGGGAGGAGCATGTAGGGGAGGGGGAGGGTGCTGGCCTGTTAGGGACGCCCAGCTGGAGTTCTAGAACTTTCCATGACTGTTTCTCATGACGCTTGGAGGAGTTTTCATTCTGAGCCTTGATCTTTGACATCTGTTTCATTTTCTCGTGTCAGGTATTATAACTGGACGACGGCGGCCCCTCTGCTCCTGGCGATGCAGGCCTTCCAGAAGCCTCTGCCAAAGGTGAGCTTTACCATGAGGAAGAAGAGGTGGCCCTGAAGGTGGTGGGGAGACTCATCTTGGTGGTTGGAATGTCACTGTCATCTCAGGAACCACAAAGTTCATTACATCACGTTCTTTTGAAGGTCATGATGGGAAACGTCGGGAGGTTGGGCTCTGCCTCTCTCGCACCCTGAATGGCCTTCCTCCCCCTCCTGCTTGATCAGGGCGCAACCTCCTGGTCACGGCGGCGCCAGATCAAATCCTGCCTCCGGGGTCCTCTCCCGACACCTCCCATGTGCTAGGGACACAGGCAGGGGCAGCGCAGGGGGTGCTGGATGTCAGAGCACAGGGATGACGAGGGGTGAGAGAGAAGGGCTAGAGCGGTGGCAGTGTGGGTGCAGGGAGACGGCGCGTCAGATGTTGGCAGCGTCCGTGCCGCTCAGCCAGGAGGCAGGGAGCGGGCAGGATCTGGAAGCTTCTAAGCTGCACGAGGCGGCTGTGACGGCCGCAAGGAGGAAGCAGGGTTATAAGGGCAGGGGGGCCCGTGTAGCCCACCGTCCCTCGTGCTCCCCCGAGGACCCACTGGACGCTGGGCTTGGAATCATTCAGTTTTCCACCCTGTGTCTTCCTCCTAGATTGTACGTTCTCCGTGCCGCGAAGACCGTGCCTCACCTCGTCCCCTTAGCAAGTGCCTTGTGCCGTGTGGTGCTGTGGCAGAGCAGATAGTTCTGATACCTGGGGTTCTTGAAAGTCTCCTGACCCCGTTGAGCCCGTGCTCGCCCCTTCCCGCACGTGTGCCTGCGTATGCGTGCAAGCGCGTGTGCCTGCGTGGGTAGGCGTTTTGGGATTTGGAGACTGTGACCTCATCGGTACTTTGTCTAAGGTCATGTTTCCCTCGCTGCTTTTGTTTTGTCCCCGCCTGGTTCCTCATGGTATCCGTGGCCCAGGATTTTCTTTTGAAAAAAAATTTTTTTAAGTTTTTTTTTTTTTTTAAATTTATTTCTGAGAGAGAGAGAGAGAGAGAGAGAGCGTGCGAGCCAGCATGAGCAGGGGAGGGTCAGAGAGAGAGGGAGACACAGAATCTGAAGCAGCCTCCAGGCTCTGAGCTGTCAGCACACAGCCTGACGTGGGGCTCAAACCCATAAACTATGAGATCATGACCTGAGCCGAAGTCGGACGCTTAACCGACTAAGCCACCCATGCGCCCCCAAAATTTTTTACATTTATTTATTATTGAGAGGCAGAGACAGCGCGAGCAGGGGAGGGGCAGAGAGAGGAGACACAGAATGCGAAGCAGGCTCCAGGCTCAGCTGTCAGCACAGAGCCCAATGTGGGGCTCGAACTCACGAACCGTGAGGTCGTGACCTGAGCTGAAGTCAGAGGCTCAACCGACTGAACCACCCAGGTGCCCCGGCCCAGGATACATTTCTCAGCTCTTATACGGCAGGAGGAAAAAAGACCAGTGCGATAGAAATTTCCTTTATCTTAAACGATTTAGCTCACAGAAGGAGTGCATGTTGTCCCTAAGCTTAGTCTTTGTGACACGCATCCTAAATCCTTTTCTTTCAGTCTTCCACCCTGCCTGTGGCGTTTATTACTATAGAATTTGGTTTATGTGTGGAATGCGTCCATCACTGATGGTGTCGGAGTTCGTATCCCTTAGAATGGCCCTTCTCCCTCCTGTGCAAAACTTGGGAACATAGCCCATCTTTTTCCCTAGTATTCTCTTAAATCTCTGACCTGTCTGGGTTTTATTTTGAGAGTGACAGGGGTATCGGGAACCAAAATCAGTTTGCGTTTGTTTGGTTGTTTTCCAGCTGGTTATGGAATCAGGATGCTTTCCTTGTAGGAAACAGAGTGACTACAAGTAGCTTAAATAATAGGGGTTTCTTATCTGACATAATAAGAATCTCAGAGGTTGGTAGTTTCAGGCTCAATGAATTTGGCTTAGCTTCTCTGCGATTTTCTTGGCTTGCCCTTTATGTTCACAAGTTGACTGCCTCTACCCACACCCTCCATCATCCTCTTAGGCAGCCCCATCCCAAATAGGAAGGAAGGATAGAGATGGATTTTGCCCTTCTCAATGGCCACCACTTGGTCACATGATCGCCCCCAAGCCAGCTGTGGGCAAAACAGTGGCGTGAATGTGAATGACATAGACTGACCGAGGTCAGAACATGCTGCTGCCTGGTTCTTGAGCAGAGCTTTAGATTTGTTGGCAAGAAAGACAGAGGCTGATGTGTCCAGGGAGGCAAGTAACCGAGTCTGGCATAGCTACCTAATTATCTCAGCACCTTTTGTTACGTAGCTCTTTCTCCCACTGCTGGGCACTTACAGCTACAACATATACTCCATTTCTTTATGGATTTGGATTCATTTCTGGACTGTGTCTTCTGTTCCATATATATGTTTAGTCATGTACCAACATGCGTTCTTTTAACTACCGTAGCTTTTAAATACATTTTAATATCTCATAAGGCTTGTGCCTACTTAATACTCTCTTGATTATGAATTTTCTGGGCTATTTTTGTTTTATAAATGAACTTTAGAATCACTTGGTGTAGGTATGAAAATAACCCTGGTAGTTTTTTTTTTTTTAAATCGGGGTTTTGTTACATTTATGGATGAATTTAGGAGGAATGGGGTAATCAACATCTGTATGAACTATCCTTTTTGTGAATAGGTTATGAATGATTTGGTTTTTGGTATATTAGGAGTTTATTTTGTATCAGGTAGGGTTTTTTAAATGACTGAAAGAAGCACACTTCAGGCAAAATATGCGAATTATTTATCTTTCTGCTTACCTGCAGTCCGTTTGGCTGGAAGACATAGCCTGTTTTTCCATTACTAGCGGGGTCTGTCGGTTCTTTATTGGTTTTGTGAACCATTTTCCTGGAATTTACTTCACGATCGATATTTTCTTCTTTGGAAATAACTTAGAAAATTGTGAATTATTATTTAATCTTGCCCCCATTAAACTCTCATTTCTTTAGGGCAAGAGTATGAATTTTCTTTTTAATACTTGAGGTTTTAACCCAAATGCATCTTCTGAGGTTCAGTGGGTCATAATTCGGCAGTTTACATTTACTAAAAAGATCCCGTGCATTTTATTATTGTTTTTTGTTTGTTTAAAACTATTTTACCCTATATGCCATGTTAGTCATTTCATTTTTTAATTTTATAATCATCATGTTGAGAGTAATGGTATTTTAACCAGTAGATCACTTTATTTTGCAAACTTCCGGTCTTACTAATCACTAATGATTTTCAATGCTTTCTTTTTTTCTGTTGTTGTCATGTTGTATCTTATTTGTTGCTTGTTTATTCCTTCACCATCTTCTTAAGTCTTCATGCTTAAGTTATCTTCATGTAATTTTGGACGCCATTAGGTTTTGCTTCTCGAAAATTTTTAATCCACAAATAGTATGTTGAGTTTTCTCTGATTCTTTCTTTCTTTTTTTTTTTTCTTTAATCTTACTTTAATTTGCATGTGTGTGTCTTTCGGTTTGAATGTGCTAAGTTGATCCTTTTTTGGTTCCATTATTTATGTTGCCATCCATTTAAAACAGGCCACTGTGGAATCTATCATGAGGGATAAGATGCCAAGAAAGAGTGGAAGATGGTGGTTTTCGTGGAGGGGAAGAAACCCCACCATCAAAGAGGTAAGCACGGGAAACGAAGGGGTGTTTCCATCTAGCTCAGCCAACTTTGGGCTTGTGGAGTGTGTGTTGGTGCTCATGTGTCAGAGAAATAAGCCTAAGGCCCAACACTCAGTTTCTAGGGGCTCTGGGAGGGAAAGGCCTCCCAGGGTGAGGGGGAGGTATGGAGGAAGGTGGGGAGGCATGGCTAGAGAGCCGCATTCACCTCCTGACCCCCGTTACCTGCAGGGGTGGGGTGGGGGGGCTGTGGTCAAGTCACTTCCCCTCTGGAACTTCTTCATCTGTGAAAAGAAGGGATTCAGTCTGAGAACTTACTTTTCTTTTCAAAGTTAAGTATCTCTCTGTTGCTTGTGAGTATAGTTGGAATGAGGTAACACTTCTGGTGGTAGACTAATTCTCATTAGTCATTTCCCTTAAATAGCTTGTCTAAATATACATGGCTTTGGTTTCCACTTCTATAGATGCCTATGATTTTTTCCAGATCTCTGTCAACCTCTCAACCTATTTCTGGAAGCAACTTCTTGGCTTGACTTCCATGCCCCTGTGTCCACCTGGCTTGCTTCCTTCCAAGGCCGTCCCCACTCTGGCTCCACCCCCATAAGAGGGGCCATCATCGAGGGCTGTCTTAGGTTCCTAGGTTCTCCTTTCCCCCTGGCATCCCCACCCATGCCCATGCGATGACTCCACTTTTGTTTGCAAACCAGACATTGTTTTGTATTCCATGTTCACTTATCAAGGAGCCAACTGTGTGCATAGTCCAAGTGAATGTTTCAAGACACTTCACAACTAGTCATTTCTAAGACCGAACGATGGTGTCTCGTGAATTCTTCCTTCACCGGACCATGGTCAGAAAATGGCGCCAGTGTCCCTCCACAGGCTAGACCCTCCCTTTTTCCTCACCTGTCACATTCAATTCATCGTCAAGTCCTATCAGTTTACCATCTTAACTGTTTCTCACATGTGCCCGCCCCTCTTCAGTTCCGCCCTTCCCTCCCTCCCCCCTCCCAAACGTAGGCTAGCACCATCTCTTCCAGGATTGCTTCCAGTGGTCCACTGGTCTCTTCTCGCCCTCTCTTCTACATCCTCTATCCCATAGCTGCAATGGTCGACTAAGGAGACCGGTCCAATTTATCTTATTCCTTGCGTAAAGCCTTCTGGGATCCCAGGGCTCTCTGTAGTTAAGACCAATATTCTTAGCATGGCTTACATGTATCCTAGCCCCGGCCTCTCTCTTTAAACTTCTTTGCCATTCTCCCGCTGTCTTCTCTGCTTTAGCCCCCTGGCTGAACATACACTCTACCCCGGGGCTTTTGCATATGCCATGTACTCTGCCTGGTGTTCCTGGGACCCCCTCACCCCCCTTCACTTAATCAACTAGCGTCTCCAAAGGCCCTTTCTTGGCAGGTTGTTCTGGGCTGCTGTTCTCTGCGCTCATAGTCCTGCCTGTGAAACTTTGCCTTTGTAAATTTTGTCAGAGTTTGTAGTCCTATTAGTGTGACTATTTAATTGACATCTCTTTCTCCTCCAAATCCTAACCTCCCGTGAAGGCAGAGACCCTGTATGGCTCTGATCCATGGATACCCTGGATGCCCCTGTTGTACTCAGAGCAGGGGTCTGGGAAATATTTGAGGGAAGGCTGATTACTTTTGGGATCTTGTGTAGTGAAACCCTAAGGCCAGCGGTCAGGTTGGTTGTTATAATACTAACAGAAACCCCAGTGATCTCAATTCGTTTATTCCAGAAGTTCAACTTGAAAAAGTCTGGTGGAAGGGTTTTATCAAGAGGAAATTGTTCTTTGACATTTTCCTTCAGCATACCTGAGTTTTACTGATTCTTCCATTATCTCCAAAGGTATAAACAAATTAGAGCAAACATATGCTTTACTTTAGGTGACTTAAAACATAAAGGGCCTCTCTAAGTTTCCTTCCTAGAGAGTAGAATGTTCTAGAATTTAGGCAGAGGGCTATTTGCTATGTCGAAGTCCTGTTTATTGCAGAGTATTCCCATTGGCACCAATTTGAATTGAGGGGAATGACAGCATGAAGAAACAGTTATGGAATTGTTCAAAAAACCCGAAATACGTTTATTTCAGCTAGATACGTATTTGTGAACTAGTCTAATAAAGAATTGTTGACAGTGGGGGCTATGTTACCTCAATAAATAGATGAAAAATGACTGGGCATGTTATCACATCAATTTGTGTGCTCATAAAAAGCTGAGGAATATTCGGATGTAGTTTGTACTCATCCAAAGTTAAGATGGTCACCCTGATATATTATTTATTTTGCTCATTTTCTTCTTAATATTGAATTAATATTAACCATTGAATATTGAATAATCATTAATATTGAATTAATGTTAATATTACTATTAACCTCCTGAGCAAATGATCACAGATAGTGGGATTTGACTATACAGCCTTTGCCCTGGGTATTTCCTTCTGACGACTTCCCCTGAAGCGTGTGGGGCTTCTCATCTCTTGCCCGCTGCAAGCCAGGCTCTGAGTGCACACAGCGTCTCTGCGGTCCTCACAGCCACTGTAGGACACGGATGTTATCACCACCCCACGCCCCCTTTACCGGGGAGGAGCCCTGGAAGGTTCCATGACTTGCCCAAGCGTCCCAAGCAGGAGAAGCGAAACTGAGCCCAGATCTCTTAGGGTTCCAGACCTCTTTCTGGTGCATTGAAGGAGCGTTTTCTATTAAGAGCGTGTGGTGTTGAGAAGGAGAGAAGCATTTTCCTAAGCAAAATATGGTGTGAAACTATTTTCAAGCATTTCTATCAGCAATTATAAGAAAATATTTTGAAAATATTCGGGTATCCAAGCAGCCCTTGATAAAGCATTTGCATAAGCTCCAGTGATTATGAAGTTTGGTTTGGTGCCACCAACACTTATGGAAAACAGACTCGTTTCTGTCAAACAATTTTTCTCAGCTTCGTTCAGCGCATCCAGCAAGGCACTAACCAGGACCTGCTGTGCGTGGGGCGTGTAGCCCTGGGGACGGCATTCTGGGCTCTGCCCTGGGCTCCGGGGAGCCCCTCACAGCACCCTGGCCCTTCTCGCTGGTACCCCCTTGACTCTCTCTCGTCTCCTCCAGGAAAGCAAGCCAGAGCAGTGCTTGGCCGGCAAGAGCCACAGCCCCGGGGAGCAGCCGTCACAGCTTGGCATGGCCACCAGGTACGGGACCGGTCCGCGTGCGTCAGCGCAGCCCCTTTCTGCATCCAGGGGTGTGACACGGGTCCTGTGGGTGCTGCTGGGGTTTACCGAGTATACGGGCCTTGGACCCAGGCGGACCTGGCTTGCAGCCCCTGGACGAACGGGAACAATGAACTAGGTTCCCCGGGAATCCAGTGGGGGCAGTTGTGCCTTTAAATACCTACCTTGCGGGGTAAACGCGAGGCTCCAGGGAGGTCCCGTAACTTGAGCGCTTCTCATGGTCTCGGGGTGTGATGGCCCTGGGTGTGCGGAATACAGTGGTGGTGGTGACGCTGGCAAAATGAGCATTACCATGGGCCTGGAGATAGGTTTCCTTCTGAAGGAAATTGCTTTTCTCTGTAGTTTAAATACTAACTGGGACTCACGTCGATACTTTTCTAAGCATGGATATGGATTCACATTAACTTGGCAACGGACCAGTACTGTGAACATTTGCCTTCAGGTTAATCTGTTTGTTGGGGATGTGAGGGACCCTCCAACCTGAGGGCAAAGCCAGCGTGCACGAGTTATGATGCTGATGATGTATATTGATACCGACTGAGCCTGCGTAACACTGTTTACATATGGCCTTACCTTTAGCGCATTCCTGTGTCTAAGAAACTCAGGATTGCGTTTCTTATTTAGCAGGAAGAAAACGCTAAGAAATTAATGGAAGGCAAGATGCAGATCTTGATCATTTTTGTATCTTGGAGGCTAAGCTAATGCCTGTCACACAGCAGGCATTTCATAAATGTTGTTGAGCTATTACTGAATTGATAAGTTCTCCCCAATATATTGTTGCTTCACAGGAGAGGCAGGCTTAGATCTCAAGTCCTCAGCCTCCTGGCCATAGCTCTGCGTCCGTGAACCATTTTATTTCTAGAATCTGTTGTTGGAACTAGAAACCCATGTAGGTGGAAGTAGCAAAACATCTGGTTTCTTCATTGTTCTGTGTGGAGAAGAATGTACACCTTTTCTTTTTTCAAATGTTTATTTTATTTTTGAGAGAGAGAGAGCATAAGCGAGGGAGGGGCAGAAAGAGGGGGAGACATAGAATCGGAAGAAGGGTCCAGGCTCTGAGCCGTCAGCACAGAGAGCCCAACGCAGGGCTCGAACCCATAAGCTGTGAGATCATGACCTGAGCCGAAGCCGGACGCTTAACCGACTGAGCCACCCAGGCGCCACAAAAATGGGCCCCTTTTTGAAGATGGCTCTCTCAATGGCCTGGCCAGCTCTCAGCCGCAATATTAGTGGGGGCACCCTTGCTGTGTTCCTGGGTGGGGCCCCGTCACTGCCTCTTCCCGCCTGACCCTCTGCCAGTCTGCACTGGGGAGGGAATCAGGGTTGACTTTGCCATTTGTCACCCCCATCTCTGGCTCATTCTCTGAAGAAGGGCTTCCCTGCACGATTATTTGGAGACCGTCCTGACCTGCAGCGTTGAGTGTGGCTGTGAGTGAGCCCGGAGGGAGAGGCAGGTGTGTTCAAGGTGGAGCGCAGGCTGAGAGCGTGCTGTCCCCTGAGGGGGTGTGCACGGCCGCCAGGGCAGAAGCCGCTGGGCTTCCGGCAGGTCGCTGTTCACGCCTGCAACGGGGCGGCCGCGGGCTGGGAACGGCGGACTTGGAGTCAGGCGGGCCTGGTTGGGGGTCCGGGCTTCGGGCAGACTGGTCTCCGTATCCCAGAAAAGGGGCGGGTGTCGTGTCCCGGGCTGCAGGGGAGGCCGCCGTGGGGACCGCACGGTGACAGGGGACACCAGCCCAGCGTGTGCGGAGCATTTACACCGGCCATTTAGCTGCACTAGAAACCTGCTCTCCCGGAACGCTTTCTACGAACCTCTCTGTTCTGCCCACGGTGTCCAAACACGAGGGGCAGCGTGAGCAGGGCGGAGAGCAGAACCTGCCGTGTGTGACCCCTGGTGAAATCGCCACCCCACCACATCTCCTCCTCCATCCGGGAAATGGGGAGAAGAATGATGCCACCCCCCCACTTATCGGCTCATGCAGTTTCCCTTCATGAGGAAGGAGGTCCAGAGCGCAAACCCCACAGGCCACACAGGGGCGGGGGTGCAGCTGTAGCAGGACAGTCGGGAGGTGGCTCTGGGGCGGGCCCGGCAGGAGGGTCACAAGGCACAGCGCGTGATGGCGGGCAGGGTGGCATGCGGGCATCCGATACTGTTCCCCTTCCCTTCCCAGTGGCCGCATGGAGGACCGGGGAGGGAGCTGGGGGACGTGGGGGGGCCATGGGGGCCCGAGGGGGGCGCAGGGGCCACGGGGGACCAAGGGGCACGAGCAGCATGACCCCAGGGTGGCTGAGCATCTGCTGGCGCAGTTTATCGGAAGCATCGAGGGTTTTCTTACCGTCTGATATTGACACGAACGCTGTTCGCGGCTAAATAGAACTTCTGTAAGACGCCGCACAGCTCTGAGTTCGTTACACCACGCTTCTTTATTAACCTTGAAAAGTGAAGACTCAGCTCTTGCGAGAAGGGACGGAGATTCTGAAAAGTAGGTAGGAAGTTCTTTTGAGAAAGGAGAGGGTCTCAATTTTTACTGGCATTCCTAGACACTTAGCCTCCCAATGAGATTCGTGCCGCTGACTCAGAGAAGGCGTCTGTGCGCTCCCGTAATTGACAGACTTGATCGACAGAACGGTCCCCGAAGGCTCCCCGTTGAGCAAACTGCTTGTCACCATATGAGTCGTTGAATTACCATTTGCAGAATGCACGCTGTGATGGGCGCTAACCTGGACGTGGTCCACAGCTGCTCCCCGGCCACAGACCTTCTATCCGGCCAAGCCCTTTGGTGTTGGGGTGCAGCCTCTTGCTGGTGCTGGAAAGCGGCCCCGGCTCCCGGGCCCTCGCAGCCCCAGCAGGCCCCCCAGATGGAAATTAACAGCCATTCCGCTTTGTTCGTGTGTCTGCACCCCACGAGCAGAGGCGCACATCCGTCTGGTATCGTGCGAGCTTTGGTTCACATTTGGATCTCATTTCAGCCCAGACTGGTTGGTTGGAGCATAACCAGTGTCTGATCCAGCGGGGGGCATGCAGCTTGTCTCTTTCTGGGCTCCCAGCTGGGTGCCCGGGACCCTGCCCGCCCCACCTGCAAATCTGTGGTTCAGAAGACCCAGCATTGTTCACAGGACCTGTGGGGGCCGGGACGGGAAGGGGCTGTTGTCGGGACATGTCATTTTCCAGACGAGCCAGAGGATTCTCCAGTCATGAGGCCTCACTGGGGCACGTGTCTCCCGGTCCGGTTCTTTCTGTCTGTCATCTGCCTGCATCCGAGTGTTCTGGTGGGTGGGATGCTGCTTGTTCTTCCATTTGGAGATGAGGAAATTCGAATGAAAGAAAAAGAAGCAGATTGTGCAGGTAACAGCCTGATTCCTGTGGGCTTCCCACCCGGACTTCTCAGGTTCTAACCCCGGTGCCGTCTGTACTCTACCTGGAAACTGCCCACAATGTCACAGGTTAGAGTCATGCACACATAGCTCAGCTCTGCCGTGGACCAGCCAGAAGTCTCGCCTCGATGCTTTGTCCTTCTAAAATTTTTTTTAATGTTTATTTATTTTTGAGAGAGAGAGAGAGAGCATGAGCAGGGGAGGGACAGGGGAAGAGAGGGAGACACAGAATCCCAAGCAGGTTCTAGGCTCCAAGCTGTCAGCACAGAGCCTGACCTGGGGCTCAAACTCATGAACTGTGAGATCGTGACCTGAGCTGAAGTCGCTTAACTGACTGAGCCACCCAGGTGCCCTCATGCTCTGTCCTTCTCTGTGGACACAGTGACCTGTTCCCATGGCTTAGTCCCCACAGTCCCTGTGTCCTGGCGATGACCAACTCGCCTTTCTGATCATAACACTTATCCTGCAGAATTGTGATTGTTCAGACAAAAAGCCTTGGAGCGCAGGGGCCAGGCCGTGTGCTGTGGTGACAGTGGTTGTGAGCGTTGGTTGGATGAGCTCAGTCCCCCAGCCCCGCAGCCCTCAGGCACCCTCTTGTGGGGCCAGGACAGCAGGTGCTTATGGAAGGGGGCTCATTCTCGATGTAGAAAGAGGCTGGTTCCCACGAAGAGGTGGTAGAAGTAGCAGAGAAGAGGGTGCTGTGTCCGGTGTCCTCCCGCACATCTCCCTAGTTGGGGGCAGTCGTGGGTGGTGGGGACTGCTGTGGAATGCACACGCGGGGTGAGAAAGCAACCGGCCATGCAGGAGTGGGAAGGCAGGCGGGGAAAGCGGGAGGCCGGGGGACACGGGGACATTAGCATTGCGAGGTCAGAGCCCACGGAGATGAAAAGATAAGATCCCACGTGTGTCAGTCTTGCATAAAGGAATGTCCCGAGCAGGAAGCTTTGCAGGCAGGCGTGAGGATGGGGCCTGCCTGCTTGGGGCCACTCAGCCGTTTCCACTCAGCCTTAACCAACATTTATTAACTTTGTAGAGCGTTAGGATGTTTGTGAAGATTATGGTCCCCGGAAGCAGGAAGCCGGAAGCCGGAAGCTGCTGGGCTGGGGATTAATGCTGTGGTGGGACTTTAATCCAGGGAACAGGTAATAACTGATAGGTTTTATATGAGCTGTTTAAAGAAAAGGAGCCTGCCTCCCACCTGCACCTCCCAGCCTTTCACCAGACGGAGATGTCTGCAAGAGTCAGGGGTGCTGGCCTGTGGGTTCCGCGCGGACCGACGAGGTGTGAAGGACAGAGCCGGCTCAGGGATTCCGGAGAAGAAGGGTGTCTTCCTTGTCTTCACCAGCACCTGTTGGCTTATTTGGAAATGTGTGTTTGGGGGGCGCCTGGGTGGCTCAGTCGGTTAAGCATCCAACTCCTGCTCAGGTCGCGATCTCACAGTTCGTGGGTTCGAGCCCCGTGTTGGGCTCTGTGCTGACAGCTCAGAGCCTGGAGCCTGTCTTCAGATTCTGTGTCTCCCTCTCTCTCCACCCCTCCCCACTCATGCTCTCGCATGCTCTCTCCCCCTCAAAAATAAACATTAAAAAAAAAAAAGAAATGCATGTTTGGAGCGGTGTGAACATGGAACTGATCAGTCAGGGTGTGTGGAGAGTCGGACTTCTCGTGCTTGGTCCGCGGCCTTAGGGAAGACGAGAGGGTGTTTGCGAGCATCCTCCTCCTGGGCAAGGAGGGAGCTTAACCCTGTTTCTCAGGAAGAGGCGCATCTTGGCTTAAGCTGGAGTGACGATCGCGAGTCCACCGGTGAGTGAATGAGGAGCGGCCGCCCCAGACGAATAACACACGAGGCGCATGAATGGGGGGGCTGGCGAGCGTCCATTGAGAAATGCGCCGGCATATGGTAAAGGACCGCCCGGGAGACGGCACCGGGGAGAGACCCGATCGACTCTGTCATTGATTTCAGCCTAATGCGTTTCTAATGGCTACCCAGATGCAGTTCCTAATTGGTGATTACATCACGGTGTGTTCCAGAATGAAGCATGAATCGTCCTCCAGCGACGAGGAGCACGCAGCTGCCAAGCCACCCAGCACGGGCCACCGTCCCCTGTTGTCCAGCGTCAGCTACAGGAAGACCCTCCGGCTCACGTCGGAGCAGCTGGTGAGTGTGTCCGCCCCTCCTCCTGTTCCCGTACAGCCACCGAGGGCGCCCAGACGCAGCGGCGGGGGGCGGGGGCCCCTCCCACGCCCTGGCCCAAGGTCAGCACCTGTCCTGGCTGCCCCCCTCCCCCATCACTTGCACTTTGTCTTCCCTGGTGTAGCCCTGGGGGCTCCTGTTTTCAAGAGTTGGAGGAGGGCAGCCTGACGGAGCTAATTTATCCTCAGGTTTCAATGACTGATAGACTCGACCCTCCCAGGCTCTTCCGCTTTTAGAGAGTTGTTCGTTACCTCAAGTGCATCTCCCAAACTGGGGGCAATCAAGCACTTGCGAGGGGGTCTAGAGAGTTTCAGGTGGCAGGGGGCCATCGTGGTCACAGTGTCTTCTTCAGTTTTCATCAGACCCTTCCTTCCTTGCCCCTGTTTCTCGTGAACAGTCAGGGAGCGAGCACCCCCCACTCTTTTGCTTTTATCCTAAGAGTTAGCGGGAAGCAGGCTTAGCCGTGATGGTGCTTCATGGGAAAAGGTCAGGCGCAGACACCCCCCCCCCTTAATGCCACCCGCTTGCCCTGCCGCTGCATGGCACCTGGCTCAGGCCAGCGATGCCGGGGGGACCTGGGGTCTGACAGCCAGTGGCACGCGCCGGAGCACCCAGCACCCAGCACCCAGATGGAAACCCGGTGAAGGCTGACGGTGCTTCCTGAGTCTGCTGTGAAGTCCCAGGGTCCGCAGTGATTCAGGAAAACACTTCCATGCTTGGCTTTGTCTTCCCTTTCGTATTTACTCACGAAGTAGTGAGTGTGTCCTCTTCTGAAGTTGGAATTATTAGAGTAAGACTTCCTGCCTGTCACTCCCCGCCCCTGCAGAGGGCCTGTGGGGACACGTGGGCTTCAGGATGCCCACACGCTGGAAAGGACGGGCCATTGCGCTCAAGGTGGTTCCGTGGTTCATGTGTTTCAGAAAAGCTTGAAGTTGAAGAACGGCCCCAACGACGTGGTCTTCAGCGTGACCACGCAGTACCAAGGCACATGCCGCTGCGAGGGCACCATCTACCTGTGGGACTGGGATGACAAAGTCATCATTTCCGACATCGACGGGACCATCACCAGGTAGGGCCCCGGGGGCCTGGAGCCTGCGTTTCTGCTCTGGGACCGTGGCACTGGACGGGGGCGGGGGGGGGGGGGGGGGGGGGGAAGGTACGCGATTCGGTTTCTGACGCAGCGAGTCATGGACTTGACCCATGATCCATGGGAGGTGCCCTTTCGTGTATTAACGCATCCTCCCCTCCCCCCACGTTCTCGTCTGATTCCTTTAGTTTTGGGCTTTGCTCTCCGGAAAGTAAGGCACGCGTCTTGTTCTCGGGTCTTACGAGGTGTTTCTGGTTCAGTGGCTTGGGGTGGGCTTTCTTCCTGTTCATCGTGCCCTTTTTGATTTCCTTTTTCTCATTTCCCTGTTTAGATCAGACACCCTTGGCCACATTCTGCCCACCCTCGGGAAGGACTGGACCCACCAGGGCATTGCTAAGCTGTACCATAAAGTGAGCCAGTAAGTGCCGGGCCCTCGGCCCCCTCCCTGGCATCCCAATGGCGTGCGCGGCACCCACGCTCAGGCCCTGACTGTGAGGGGCGCTGTAAAGAGGGGTGCGGCTCGGGCAGGCAGGGCCCGTGGGGGCGGGTGCAGGATTCCGAGTACACGGTGAGTCCTGATCCTTGACTCCCAAGTGTGAGTTCGGTACCACAAGACGAGAAAGGAAGTGGCGGGAGGCTCGAAAGTTGCTGGCGGAAGGGGAGTGCTCGCGTTAGAGGAGGGACCGAGATTCAGTTCCTGCTGAGCTCCCTCAGGGGAGGGGACGTCATGGGACTCTGGTACATGCCTGGGCCGCGCCTCGTTTGTCCAGGTGGGAGAGGGGATCTTAACCCGCTGTCCTGTGTCGGGCATGCGTCGCCTTACTATTAGCCTTTCAGTACTGGAAGAATTGATATTAATTCCCTGAGAGGGAAACTCGGAGGGTTGAAGTGGTTTGTCCACAGGCCCCTGGCCGCCGACAGGAGGTGCGGCACCTTCGGGCCTGGTCTGCTCCGCCCCACAGCCCTGGTGTCTGCTCTGGTCTGTCTCCAGGGTCAGGGCTCGTCGGGGTCTCTCCCTCCCCACACCAGCTCGTCGCTTTCTCCATCTTTCTGTGGACTAAAGTCTCCCTCATCGGTGAAACCTCTCCCTCCAAAGCTTTCTGTTCTCCAGCCTCTTAAAAAATTTTTTTAACGTTTAGTTTTGAGAGAGAGACAGAGACAGAGCATGAACAGGGAGAGGCAGAGAGAGAGAGAGAGAGAGAGAGGAGAGAGAGAGAGAGAGAGAGAGAGAGATACAGAATCTGAAGCAGACATGAGGCTCTGAGCTGTCAGCACAGAGCCCAATGTGGGGCTCGAACTCCAACTGTGAGATACGACCAGAGCGGAAGCTGGACGCTTAGCTGGCTGAGCCACCCAGGTGTCCCTGTTCCCCAGCCTCTTAGAGCTGGAAGGTGCCTTAGGCCCTACGTTTCCATGGTCGAGGAAGGTGAGGAACTACAGAGTTAGGGGGTGTCAGGCCAGAAAACCGGCCCTGATGCCAGCCTGTTCTGCTCACCCGCGGCCCATCGTAGGTGATGACGGGGGGTATAGGGACGGGCACTCAAAGCTATGCCGGTGTTCTGAGCACAGATGAATAGAGTAGACTTTCCTGCCCCTCATTCCTTTGTTCATCCAGCATTTAGTGAGTGCCTATTGTGTATTGTGTGCTCAGCCCAGTGACAGGCACGTGGGAGGTCACGAGGTGGACGCGGTCTCTGGCCTCCTGGACCTGATGCTGCAATGGGGGTGGGGTGGCTGGGACGAGACCCTCATACCCCGGTTGGGACTGAGAACTCTCATTTCTTAGATGCCCGGCTCATCGCTTTGGCCTTACTGCTCCAGATTTCATCTCCACAATGTCACAAAAGTAATACATGGTTCTTTAAAACAAATTAAGAGAAATAAGAAAAAGTAGAGACATCAGAGAGGACAAAGCTTGTGTCGCCTTCCTCTCTGCTCTCACACCGACCTAATCCGCTTCCCAGAAGTGGAGCCACCGTGAGCGACTTGGCTCTGTCCAGCCGCCCTTAAAATCCATTCCCGCTCTCCCTGTGACCCCGACAGGCATGCGTGTGCGCGTTATTTAGTAATACATTCTTTCTGCTTCGTTTCCTGTGAGGTTTGCCTCATCCTCCGCGGCTGCACACATCATACAATACGGGTCAGCCATTCCGGATTTCACTAGCTCTCTGTTGATGAACGTAGGAGGTAGTTTCCAGTTTTTTCGCTATTTCCAACATTGATGCACTAAGTGCTCAAACATACAGTGCTCATTATGTATGACGGGCCTATAAATAAGGACGGCCCACACACGGAGGGGGCGCTGATGTAGAGTGGATTCCCAGGAGTGGGATTCCTGGTAAGGAGGTGGGTGAGCACATTCGCAGATCTGCCCAGTAGAGCCAGATGGCCCCTCTGCAAAGGTACGCCGAGGCCGCAGCCTTGCGGACGGTGTGTGTGCGGGCCCCCTTTCCTCCGCAGCCTCACCTCGGCTCACCCCTCGCTTAGAAGGATTAATTCACCGAGGACCTGCCTTGACTTGCATGACACTGAAAATTGCATCTAATTTTAGTTGGAAAAAACTCTCACGAGTCAGGATACCGAGAAGCTCGCCGCCTGAATCATTTTGGGCTTTGGGACATGAATTTCCCTTCCTTACTGTACATTAGAGGGAAAAAAAAAAAGGAGCATAGTTGCATTTCTCCCCCCATCCCCTCCAGAAAAGAGATCTTTTGGGCAAGCCAGGTTGGGTAGCTTGCCAGAGAAGACCTGAGCAGTGTTTCCGTAGACTGACGGGTAGGATGAGTGAGGTCTGTGGGTGCTGTCTGAAATGACTACAGAATGATTCCTATGTTTTCGTTTGGGCTGAGAGGAAGGGGCTTGACGTCTGTTCGTTCGCTGAGTTTGATGTGTGTCCTCAGTGGCTCCCGGACCGTTAGGCTTCCGGAACAATCTGCACACCCACACGGCTCGGCCACGGCCTTCGGGGGTCTGCACGGAGTGCCTCCTGGGGGGGCTCCCCGCCTTCTGCCAGGCCTTCATTTTCCAAGTTTCTCCCCAGAGCTTCCTGATCTAATCCAGGCCGCATCCCACCCCCTGTGCTTCGTTTTCCCGTCTCCCCGCCTACGCTCAAGGCGTGGCTTCTGCCCGGCCGGCCTGTACCTCCGAGCTTGGTCTCCACATGTTCCTGCTTGTCATGCCCGGCTCAGACGCCGTGGTCCTCACAGTGCCTTTCCAGGTGGAGTCGGCGACTCTGTGTGGCTCTTACCTGCTTCCTTGGCTTGTCGGAGCCCTTGCGCGGGTTGGGTGTGGTATGACGTTCCCGTAGCTGACTGCTGCTTAGCGTGAACCCCGATGCTGGCTGCGCCCCACATGCTTCCTCCTCTGGGGTCCCGGCCAGCTGCAGAGGGACAAGTGTGGGGACCGAGGACTGGTCAGGGTGGTGGGACTCCCTCTTCTCAGGAGCCCGGGTCATTCTTTCCATGTCCTTCTGCGATCACCTGCAGGCCCACACAGACGCTTGGCATGCTCTAAAGTCCCAGGAAGGCAATGTATCTACTTCAGGATTTGGAGACGGATCACTCCGTCCTCACTCTGCTTTTGCGGAATTTAGGTTGTACTTAAACTTTCTGCACTGCACTATCTATACATTGGAAACGTCAGTCTTGCAGATAGCCACTTGCCTTAAAACAACAGAAAACGAGGGCAGTTTTCTTTCTCTTTCTTTTCTTTTTCACCAGATGTGATTACTTTTTTGAATACAGTCAGCGGTGACAAATTATCTGTGGAGCTGACCGTTACCTTGTTCATAGAGAGGGTCTAAAACAGCTGGCTTGGTTGTCGATTAAAAAGAACTGCAGCCAATAGAAACAGAAGACGCGAGACTCTTCCCTCACATTCAAGTATGTTCAACGTGCACATAGACAGCAAAAGCCTCTTCCCTAAAATCTCTAGATCGTTGGCCTGTTGGGTCTTCTAGGGGCTAAATCTGGACAATAATTGCTCTGATTTTCCACCTTCCTTGATCACTGTTTTTATACCGATGGAGCCAGAAGTCTCTGTGTGTGGACTTAGCGAGAATGAATGCTCCTGTGTTTTCGTGGATGGATAGGTTCGTCTGTGGCGGGGAGAATGTGCCATGAGAAGCGAGGATGCTGAAAGGGGAAGGCGTCATTAGCAGACTCATTAGGATCTTTATTTTCTCCTGTCCACAGCCGATGTTTTTCTTTCCCCTTCGGGTCTCCTTAGAGGAGTGCACTCATTACAGCCTGACATAAGGTTGGAACCTCTGATGGGGTGTAGGGGGGCGACTGGAATCTGAAGGTGATGGCCCTTTACTCAGTCTGGATGCTTAGACCTCGTCCCTCACTCCCAGCCTTGGTTTCCTCATCTCTGAAAGGGGAAAGTTTGGCTAGGTGGCGCCTCAGGTCACTGCCAGCCCGGAAATGCCGTGCCCGCAGGTCGTGGCGCTGCCGTCACAATTCCCCATGGGGGGTGGCTAGGCGCGCTTTGCTGAGCATGGCCTCCACGAGAAGCCCAGGACTTAGCCGACTCTGACTGCAAACCCGCTGCACACCGGGGTCTGTGCTGGTGCCTCTCCGTCAGGGAGCTTGGGGTCCCGTGGGCGCAGATGAGAGACCCTGTGAGGACGCAGGGAGGGGACGAGCAGTGAGATGCAGATTTCTCAGACGGGAAGTGAGGGACCAATTAATTCTGATCGGAGGGGCGAGGAATCCAAGCCGGTTTCAGCGAGAAGGAGGCCCTGGAGCTGAGGCTTGTTGGGTGAGCCGGGTGTCGTGAGATGCGCACTCATCACAGGGGGAGGCAGGGCGAGAGGAGGTGGGGCTGAGAGCCAGGCCGGTGCGAGCGTGGTGGGCCCTGTGTGGTGGGCCCTGACAGTGGGGCTTGGAGGCCCGGCTGAGAACAAGCCTGAGTTTGGCCTTGAGGCTTCCGTGCATCCATTTTTAAAAAAATGTTAATTTATTTGTGAGAGAGAGACAGAGTGTGAGCAGGGGAGGGGCAGAGAGAGAGAGGAGACACAGAATCCCAAGCAGGCTCCAGGCTCCGAGCTGTCAACACAGAGTCTGATGCGGGGCTCGAACCCACGAACTGCGAGATCATGACCTGAGCTGAAGTCGGACGCTTAACCTACTGAGCCACCCAGGGGCCCCTAGAGCCTTCTCCATCCTTAAGGGAACAAGCGATTATCCTTCCTCTGGGCCTGCAGACGGGGCCACAGAGATCCCTTTTTCCTACAAGAGTGCTCTCAACCGAGGGCGATTTTGGCTCCTGGGGACCCATGCAGAGTCCAGAGCCCGTTTCTGAGTGCCATGCCTGGGGCGTGTCATGGACCCCTAGCGGGTGGAGGCCTGGGTTGCAGTGCGGCGCTGTCGGGGCTCTGCCCTGCCCCCCAGCAGCGATGTATCCAGGCCAAGATGTCCGTGGTGGAGAAATCCCAGCCTGGACACTTATCTTGGCAAATAGCCCCAGAGGTAATCTTTCCAAGCTATTTTCATATCTGCCTGGGCCAAGTGTTTCCAGAGAGATATGGAGGCTGAGACATGGAGAAGCCATTAGTGCGAAGCCGGGCCGTTCTCCGTGGCTCTGGTGCTCCCCCAGTCCCGTGCCGGTTGCTGAGATCTTAGAGGGATAAGCGTGAGCCACATGTGGGTTGTGCCTCCGCGCACGCACGTCGCTCTGCGGGCAGGCTGCGTCCCTCCTCCCGGGGAGCCCTCAAGGGAGGGGTAGGTCTCCCCACATGCCCACTCCTGAAGGGCAGGGCTGTGCCCACCCTGCGTGCACCCAGAGCCCAGCCGAAGTGTGGACGGGAGCAGCGCGTCCTGCTCTTCTGAGCGAGGAGTGAGGAGTCACACCCCCAAGGGTTACTCTTGAGAGTAATCTTTGGTGACTTGGTGTCACCTGAGCATTGGATGGGACCACTGGGCATCTCAGGCAGCTTTTATGGGGGCAAAGCCTCCACCGTCAACAAGCATTCCCCACTCCCCCAACTCGCCAAGATGTCTTGGAGCCGATTTTCCAGCCAAGTTTAGTAATGGCCTTTGAAGCCGAATCCTTACCTGGTGGGAACAAGGCGGTGGCCTGATCAAACCATGAAACGTGTTTGAAAATCAGGTTTTGAACAAAATCAGCATCCCCAACCCCTGCAGATGGCCGCTTTTAGGACTTTGATGTGAAGAGCTATATACAGAAAGAGTGGGTATGTTTTAAAGACTGCATTAATCAGGGAGCTAAAATACGAGGATGTTTAAGTACAAAAGTTGCTTGATTTTAAGATGCATCCCTATACTCCACACAAGCTGGTATTTCTGGGTTTGCTGCATGTTAAAACTTCCCTGTTTTTTGGTTTTGAAGGACGTATTTATTAGTGAGCAAGCCTGGAGATGCGTCCCTTAAGCAGCATGAAATGTTCATGGTGGAATAGAAAGTCAGGGAGAAGGAGGTAGTTTGTATTCTCTCATTCAGCAAATATTTATGGAGTGTCTGTGACTATTTGCCAAGCACTGTTTTTGGCCAAGCAAGGAATGAGACAAAGTCCCCGCCCTCAGGGGGCTGATGGATTAATGAGAGATACCGTCAAACCAGTGACTATACTGTAATATTAGTGCTGAGTGCCGTTAGGAAGAGTAAAGCAGAGCAAAGGTTTTGTGGCCGAAGTGGGGGTAGGGGAGCGTGTGTTTTATTACATAGGGGGACGAGGGAAGGGCCCTCTGAGAAGGTGATGTCTGAGCAGAGACCTAGGTGAGGTGAGGGAGTGAGTCAGCTGCGGTGTGGGGAACAGTGTTCCAGGCGGAAGGAACAGCATGTGCGGGTGCCCAGTGCAGGAATGAGCACGTCACCTTGGAAGACTGGCAGGAGCAGCTGTCTGGTGAGTGGGAGCGAGGGAGCACATGGGATTGGAGAGAGGGACGGGGACCAGGTCTCATTGGCCTTGTAGGTCACGGCAAAGAATTTGGATTGTATCTGAGAGGTTCTGGAGGGTTCTGAGCATGATGTGAATGTGTTTTGAGTTTTCTCTCCATTGTGCGGACTTCGCGTGGGGGGCTGGGAGCTGATTGAGGCTGCCGTGGGAATAGAGATAAGAGGTCTTGCCCAGTAGCAGGGGACCCCGGGGGTGGTTTGGGGTCCTGGTTGGGGCGGAGTTGAGGGGGCCCGCTGAGGCAGTGGGGCTGGGGCTGATGGTCATGAGAAGTAGAATCCCAGGTGGCCCTGAGGTTTGGCCTCACACCTGGGCCAGCAAGAGCCATTTGCTCAGTGAGGACGCAGCAGGAGCGCCCACGCACACTTGACTGTGGGCCCGCCACGTGGGCGGTACGTCGTGTATCATGAGCAACGGGGTGGTTTGTGCTCGCACGTATTGGACCGGAGCTCAAGAGGGGCTTCTGGACCAGAAGTACACCTTTGGAAGACAGCCAGGTATAGCAGCACTCTCAATAATAGCCAAAACATGGAAAGAGCCTAAGTGTCCATCAACAGACGAATGGATCAAGAAGATGTGGTTTATCTATACAATGGAATACTCCATGGCAATGAGAAAGAATGAAATCTGGCCACGGGTAGCAACGTGGATGGACCTTGAGGGTGTTATGCTGAGCGAAATAAGTCAGGCAGAGAAGGACAGATACCATGTGTTTGCACATATAGGAGGATTAGGAGGAACTTAAAGGAGGACAATGGGGGAGAAGAAGGGGAAAAATAGTGGGGGAGAGGGAGAGAGGCAAACCATGAGAGACTCTTGAATGCTGAGAACAAACTGAGGACTGATGGGTGTTGTGGGGGAGGGGGGAGATGGGCATCGAGGAGGGCATTTGGGATGAGCTCTGGGTGTTATATGGAAACCAACTTGACAATAAACTATTTGTAAAAAAGAAACAAACAAAAAAAGGAAGACAGCCAGGTATAGATGATGTTTAAAAAACGTTGAGTGTATCTTATTTAGTCCAATATATGGAAACTCTTACCGTTTAAAATCAATATAAAAATTATGAATGGGATATAGCTTCTGTTTTTGTAGTAAGCCTTTGAAACGTGGCATATATTTTATATTAACAGCATATCTCGTTTTGGTCACTAAGCTTTCAAGGGTTAAAAAAAGGGAAATGTGGTCCTACTAAAGCAGTAAAGTTGTATTTCGTTGGAGAATCATCCTATGATCCGTATTTCATCCCTAGCACGGTTGGCGTCCAATGCGTGTGGCTGTCGCACGAAGCAAACCTGAAATTCTCTACAGACACCAACTGGGTGTCCAGCAATTCAGTTCACTTCTGACACCAGCTACCCAGAGGCAGCGTAGACTCCACAGGTCAGGGGCCCCGACGTAGGAGAGCTCCCACTTCAGATGCCAGCTGCAAATAGGAGGTCCCCAGTTTAACCCCCTCTTCTTCCCAACTTGGCTACAGATTGGGGGTCCCCAGAACCCCTTCTCGGGTTTAATAGTTTGTTATAAAGGCTCACAGAACTCAGGCAAACGCTCGGGTTTGTTCTACAGGGATACAAATGAACAGCTGGGTACAGAGGCCCATAGAGCAATGTCTGGGAGGGTCTCGTCTCCACAGGGTGGGGTGTGTCCCAGCAGGTGGATGCACTCACCAGCCTCTCCCAACCCTGACCCCCGTTGTTTAGGGGTTTTCTGTAGGCACGATTGATTAAATCATTGACCGTTGGTGATTGAATTCAATCTCCAGCCCCTCTGCCTTTCCCAGAATTTGTGTGTATGGGGGGGGGGGGACGTTGGGGGTGGGACTGAGAGTTCCAGCCCTCAGATTGCATGGCTGGTTCCCATGGCAACCATGGACCGCCTCATCAGCATCAACTCAGGTGTGTGTGGAGGAAGGGGCTTGTGTTGGGTAATAGATGCCTGGTCACTCAGAAAGCCCAAGGTTCTAGAAGCTCTGTGCTAGGACCCAGGATGAAGATGATATACATCTGTACCGTACCACAGCATCACAAATAGCATGCACTGCTTCCGTTTGTTTGTGCCATTCAGGGCCGTGGGGGAGTGTGTGTGTGATCCCCTGGGGAGTGAGGCTGTGAGGACCCCAGGACCTACAGCCTGCGTGGAGACGGGGCCACGTTGTTGCTGGAAGGAGACAGGGACGGAGATGGGGGGCGCCCAGAAGAGGGAGGACTGAGGTGCTGTCACGGGTGCCAGGTGCTGCCGCAGTCTGTTCCCTCGAGAATTGCGGCATTGCTGGCACCCGGGGGGCAGCGAGGCGGGTTAGAGCGGGTTGACGCAGTGGGGAAGTGCGGTCGGTGCAGACCTATGGCTCTTTGAAGGAGTGTCGCGGCCCAGGGAGGGGGGAGATGGGGTTTGGTGCGGAGACGGAACGCCCAAGGGGGCTTGGAGGCAGTGGTCGTGTTGAGGAGGAGATGAGAGAGGGTGGGTATGTATTTACATGCTTTCAGGAATCATCCAGCCGAGGGGAGATTTGATGGTGTGTGTCGGGGGGTGGCCTCTGTGCTGGGTGCACCTGCGGGGGCCCAGGGTCCCGGTGGCTGGGTGGCCCTTCCAGGAGCAGGGACCCCAGGATGAGCAGCGCAGGTGCAGGGAGCCTGACCAGTTTGCACAGGGCCTCAGTGTCCCCAGCAGTAAATCGGAGGGAAAATCCCTACCGGAGTTTCCGTGAGGATTATCCCAAGTGAGGGACGTGCGCTCGGTAAGGGACAGTGAAATGCATTCAGGTTTCCTTCTCCGTGCAAAATAGTGTCATATAGGATGTGGCCTTCTGCACCGAGGGAGCTTGCAGCGATGCCTTCCTTCGAGAAGCACAGATCAGGCTTTGTGAGCGCGTAACAGTTCTGTCAGGCGATGCCATGACACCCGAATTCTTTGTCTCTCTTGCAGAAACGGATATAAGTTTCTCTACTGCTCTGCACGTGCCATCGGGATGGCGGACATGACGAGGGGCTATTTGCACTGGGTTAACGAGAGGGGCACGGTGCTGCCTCAGGGGCCCCTGCTGCTGAGCCCAAGCAGTCTCTTCTCAGCCTTGCACAGGTACGGCGCTGGCTACCCACCTCCCGCCCCAGATCGGCCAGCCAGTTCAGCCCCCCCCCTTCCTCTCCCCTGGAAGATTTTTGTACATTAATTTATTTTTGTATACTAATTTTACAGCCAGCCATCTTATCAATTATTAACTGTGATAATTCACCTGTAGATTATTTTTTAATGTAGTTTTTTTTGGTGTCTGTGTGTGAATAGACTGATAGGTTTTTTCTCTCCTTCCCAATTCTGATAATTTTTATGTTTCCCTTACACCACCGTGCCAATGAGGACCCACAACATGTTGTTGAGGTGAAATGGCCATAAGGGCACCACCTGTTGTTTCACCGTTAACAGGGCATTTGCTGTGGGTTTGGAGCACTCTCTGCTATTCCTGGTTTAAGATTTTTCATCTTGGGTAGATATCAAATTGTATCAAATGCCCTGTGTCTATTGACATGGTATGTTTTCTCCTCCTTTAATCTGCTACTGTGTTCTCCTGCATTACTTGGTTTAAAGTATTGAATTACTCTTGTGTTCCTGGAAAAAACTGTGCAGTCAGTTCCCACATCCATACTTATTTGGGACGTTTGCACTGACTGACATGAGTGAGGTTGGACCATACTCTGCTCTTATTTTTCTTCTTTAAGTCTTATGTTTGAGGGTACGTCAGCCTCATAAAATGAGTTTGGAGATGTTCTCTCTTCTTCTGTGTCTGGAATTCTTTTTGACTTGGATGCCTGGTGGAGGCCTTTAGTAAAATCACTTAGCATTTTCTCTGTGCGAGGACTTGAAAGTAACAGACTCTTCACCTTCTGTCTTGCGCTTTTCGGGGACTGCCGCACTGACTTTTGAAGATACGAAATTGTTCTTAGGGTCACAGCATCTTTGACATTTAAAAATAGTTGGATACTCATGAAGCCTCTTCTCTCAAGCTGACCCATTATTTATTTGTTTTCACAGAGAAGTGATTGAAAAGAAGCCAGAGAAGTTTAAAGTCCAGTGTTTGACAGACATCAAAAATCTGTTTTTTCCAAATACAGAACCCTTTTATGCTGCTTTTGGAAACCGACCGGCTGTAAGTAGAAGATTGGCTCTATAAGAGTCCTTGAAATTTACTGTCTTTTTTGACAGCAGTCACCTGAATGGTGGGCGTGGGTGACATGGGGCACCAGCATCCGGTCCCATCAGAAATAGTTGTGCAGAGACTGTACATTATTTCATGGCCTCTAGTTTTCTCTGACGATTGGCTAGTGGATTTCAATCTGAAGTTTGAAATGTCGGACTAGAAACTTCAAATTCCCAATTACTTGCTAAGTTAGTAAAACAAGACCATCAAATAGGCTTGGCCCCTTCCTACCAGAAGGGTACCACAAAGCCAAGCCATAACACAACCATGAATGTGGCATCGCAGGTCTGAAGAGCGCTGTTGCATACGGGAAAAGATTTTATGTGCACTACGCACATCTGCCGGAGAGTTTAGCGTTCTGGATAATACAATTGGGTACTGACTTCCCAGGAAGAGAATTCCCCTTTTGAAACTCCTGCCTGAGAAAATGGGTCAGAGAATAGCCTTAAGGGGGGTTAGAATTGCAGGGGATATAGTAGGCTGTTTACTCATTAACTCAGTTCTTGCATGGATGAGTGAACCGAGGCCCCGAGGGGAAATCTGATTTAATAATTTCACATCCAGAGATATTCTTTCTCTACACTCCCTGGAAGTATAGATCTGGTTAATGAGAGTTTCATAACACTGCATCAAATCTGGAATATCACGTATTCGTATTTACAGTGAACTCTTTTTTTTTTCCCCCTCTCACTTATACTTCACCAAATATAGGATGTGTATTCGTATAAGCAAGTAGGAGTGTCTCTGAACAGAATATTTACCGTCAATCCCAAAGGAGAGCTTGTACAGGAGCACGCAAAGACCAACATCTCCTCGTGAGTATCGCGCCCACTGTGTGCGGTTCTCGGGTCACTACGTTGTCACGATGGTCTCCATCTTAGAATGATGTCTTATGGTTCACAGGATGCCTTTTTGTCCTCTGTTTCCTATGTTTTAATCTTCAGTTCCTACAAAAAAAATATATCTTAACTCCTCATGTTTCGTCCAAAACCTCACTTTTGGACAGTCTTCGTGAACTCAGATCCCCTCTGGGTCCCCACAGTCTGGACTTTGTGGAGAGGTTCTGCCACCGAGTGGAACTGAGTGGACTTCAGAACTAGTGGTTTAGATTTGCCAAGTTAGGCTTGAAAGCCTAGCAGGCAAACTGGAAACGTAACCAGACCGAAACGTCCCGTAAAGCCGTATTTACAGGCAGGCACTTCAGGTCCTTTCACGCACTGACCTGAGATGACGCGTTCACCAGAAGTTTTAAGAACTCTTCTCGTCCTCATGGCCAGAGCCCCATTACCCTGTCCCCCCGTCCCCCTGTCCCCCCGAGGCAGGGGGCTGACTTGGGCTCCTGCTTGAGCCGGGGCATCCTGGCTGGCTGCAGGGTCTCTCTGGACTTTGGTGCCCTGGGTTCCGAGCTCCTCAGAGTGGAAGGCGCTGCCTCATCCCACGTGCTGGGGAGCTTTGCCACCGGGCGACACCGGGCCCACGGTTACCCTCCCGCTTGGCCGGTTTCAGAGGCTGCACTGTCTGCGCAGACCTAGAAAAGAGCCTTGGGCCTGAGTGACCCCTAGCCGCCTGGCGACCCTCCCCACGGGGAGGAGGGGAACTAGGAAATTGGTCTTCTCCAGATGCGTCCAGCAGTTTTAGGTAGATGAGGGATACAGGCGCCTCCCAGAGCACAGTTTTACTTCCAAGGCGATCCTCATACCTGCTCAGGCTTTACGGAGCCCAAACGGGGGCCGTTTCAGGCTGGAGGGAGCCCTGCGCCCCCCTCACCTGCCTCTCCCGGTCATGCCTGCTTCTAGGCAGTTCGCAAGCCAGGTGGGGAGAGAGGAGGACGGAGCCAGGAGCCTCCTCCGTCCTCAGAACGTGGGGCTGCCTCCTGACTGATGGGACAACAGTGGGAATGGACTCTTCTCCCCCCCCCCCACTCCCCCTCCCCAGCCATGCCGTGTCTCTCTGCCCGCCACACTCCTGTCTCTCCGCCCGCACCCGGAGTAGCCCCGACGGCACCCACTGGCCTCTCTCTCCCATGTTCCCCAGCGCAGCACCCTCCATACGAAAGGGCTTCCTGGTCTGGAGAAGGTCTAAGAGAGCTCTTTTCAGGGTCAGAAAGAACTCGAACTGATGAGATGCTGCACACGGCAGGTCCTGCCACAGGGGGTGTGGAAGGGGTCCCGGCCCCCGTGAGTGTTCGCCCTGGAAGCCTGTGAGGTGGTCACGTTCGCTGAGGCTCATGGCCCAGGGTGGACGGCTGCGTGGGAGGAACCTCATCCTTGCTCATCCCACGCTGGGTGGGGACCGCAACCCTTCTTGTGGGGGGAGCGCCCCTCCTTCCTGTGTCTGGCACTGAACTTGGGGCTGTCACCTCGGATCCTGGTTCAGTGTCCCTGAGAAATCTCGGAACCGCCTTCCGATGGGGCCGTGTTGCTCTGTAGGGTGCCTGCATCCGGATCTGGGGCCTGCCACAGAGGGGCTGCTCCCACGGGGGAAGGGGGTGGCGGGGGGGGGTGCCTCCCACAGCTGCAGAGCGCAAGTGGGTCTTAAAGCCGTGAGGTGTTTTAAAAATCCGTTTTAATACCCAGGAAAGGCATAATTCTTACTCATTAGGGGAGATTTTTTTCCCGTTCTGTGCAAGCATGAGGTTCCTCATAAGCCCTTTGGGGGTCCTTTATTAAATAACACACTCTTGTCCTTATGGAATAAGTTATTTGCTGCCTTAGAACTTGCTAATTCCTGGAGTTTGTTTTGACAGCCCATTTTGAGTTTTAGAGGATTGGAACCAGAGTGGGACCCAGTGACTATCAGGGAGGACTCTGGGGATGCGCAGAGAGGTCCGGGCCTGTCAGACTTTCTGGTTGGAGGTGCCTGGAGGTCTGAAAATGCATAATCAATGTAGTGACTTCCTTTTTGAGAATCACGCTTACATCGTTGGGAGAATATTGCAGGGAATGTTGAGAAACACTGATCTAGCCCCAACTCCATCTTCTGTAAAGAGGAAGGGCCTGAGGCCCAGAGAGGGCGAGACACTTGCCTAAACTTACATAGCAAATAAGGTGGGAGGAGATTGCAGGTCTCTTGTCCGTCACCAGCTAAGGCTTTTCCCCTAAGGCTAATAATTAGTGAGGGCTGATTATTTCCTAACGTTAATAATGTATGTTGAATAAATTCATCGAGCGCTGAATATACATTATTTTATCGTCACATATGTTACGTTATTTAATTCTCCTGTGAACACTCAGGGAGTTTTCTTTTCCTTTCCTTTGTGGCTGAGGAAGTTGTGGCTTAGAAGGATGACGCCATTTGCCCAATTTCACTCGGCTGGTAAATGGCAGAGCTGAAGGTCAAGTCTGTGTCCCCTTCACCCAAGGCCCAGGCTCCTTTTCTTGCACAGTAAAGGAGCCTCTGTTTGATGCTCCAGGGATGTGCTTTCTCTGTGATTCTTGTCCCTGCGCTGGTCGGTGAGCTCCACACTGATTCCCGCTTGTCCCCCTTCGTCGGTCCTTTGTGCCCCGTCAGGGTCCACCCGCCTCGCCCGGCCAGCCTTCTGGACGCCTGCGTGCCATACTTGTTGATTTCGTGTTAGTTGGTGAGGAATTGTTCCGGAACAGCCAGCACTGTGTCAGCAGGTGGTGCGTCCCCGGGGTCGTGCATTTCTCCTAACTCCAGGCGCCGTGCAGGGCGCCCGGCGGGTGTCCCCGCGGCCCGTGTCCCTCAGGGCCAGTGACGTTGTCCGTTTTCCTGCCAGGTATGTGCGACTCTGCGAAGTGGTTGACCACGTGTTCCCGCTGCTGAAAAGGAGCCATTCTTCGGACTTCCCCTGCTCAGATACTTTCAGCAACTTCACCTTCTGGAGAGAGCCGCCGCCTCCTTTTGAAAACCAGGATGTTCATTCTGCCTCCGCCTAAAGTGTCGCCAGCAGCCTCCTGACGTCATGTGAAGCCCGGGCGCCCCCCGATTAAAGGCTAGGTTTTGGGAGCCTTGGAGCAGGAGCCCAGGAGCCTGATGCGGTCATTCGCTAAGAGCAGAGGAGGCGGCGGGGCGTGCCTCTCCCCTCCCCGAGCCCCGGGCCGACGCTGCTGGGCGAAGCGCGTACTTTATCGGCGGGGACGCAGGTGCCGGGACGGCGTGGGAGGCGTGCGGTGGTCGTGGCCGCGCTGCCCGGCCCCCCCCCCATCACATGCCACGCGGGCCGCCGAAACCTCAGCGCCGGCGCCAGCTCCGCGGGGGGGGGGGGGGGGGCCGCAGCTCCCCGGCCGCGCATGCACGTGCCACGCCTTCCGCTGCGCGGGGGAGGGGGGCAGCGGGCGTGTCCCCGCAGTGTCTGCCCGCAGGCCCGACCGTTAGCTGCGGAGTCCGCTGTGTTTGCCGCCCGCCCCCCACCCCGTTTCGTGGCCCGAGGCTGGAACACTGACGCCTTAATGCCTCTGCGGCAGACGGTTCGCGCCTTCGCAGCGCCTCGAGCTCAGACTGCGTAGACACGACTCGGGTAGCGCTTCGCATCAGCTCCACTCCCTGCGGGCAGCCAGGTGGTGTAGACGGGAGCGGAACCGAGCTCCTGCCCAACGGCAGCTGGGAGCTCCCAAAAGTCCCTAGCCGGTTTTACGGAAATAGTTTCACGAAGTTCCGTTCTTTGTAGGTACTATTCTTTATTACTTTACTCTGATTGGGTTATTGTCATGAGCATTTTAGCTGTATTCTTCCTATTATAACTGTCGTTAATGCATTAAAAAGATAGAGATGTTAGGCCGTCCCAAGAGCCTTACTCTGTATATCTCACAACGCTGACCTTCTTTTTGGCGTTTCCGAGTAATACTTGGGTTTTCCTTCCCCTTCCCCCCCGAATGAAGGGCGAGGGGCGCTTGGGTGACCTTCTTTAATCCGGCGGAAAGGGATTCCTTGACTTGTTTGTGACCTTGGCTCGTGGAGAGAACAATTTGGAAAGTGAAAGAATTATTTTTGTAAAAGATTTTGCTTTACTTTTTGAAGTCTTTTTTTTTAAAGAGTGTCTTTACTCCAGCGACTGAAGTGCTTTCCTATTTAAATCGCATTGTTAGAGTCACAGGAGGCAGAAAAGGCGACCGTTTGAATGACTTTTTTTTTTTTACTCTTTCTGTGAAAGAAACCCCAGAGGCGTGGCCTTGGCCGTGACCGGTGGGCTCCGTCCGCAAGGGCCGCCCGCAGGGGTTCTCGGGGCCGCCGCGCGCACACGGGCAAACCGGCGTGTTGTCGAGCCCGTGTGCCTGCAACCGTGAACGTGCATGCGCAGACCCCCTTTTGGAGGCGTTAAGAATAATTAAAAATAGTTCTGCCTTAACTACTTCAGGCTCGCTCACCAGTGACCTGTAGAAGCGTACTTCCGTCGTGAGGGTGTCTCGGGGTGAACTTGAAGTATGGTTTGCCCCTTGCGCCGGGAAGCGTTGGGCTTTGAGGAGACGTCACGTACCCCACGTCGTCCCGTGCACCCTTCGTCAGGACGACTCGCTCCGGTGGCTCACGCAGCTCCGCAGCCCTGGTGTTGATGCACCTTACACGTCCACCCCGCCGTACTCCCGAGCGGAGCATGCCCTCCAGAAGGTCGCACGCCCGGACGTGTGTCAAGTTCAGGGCGGGGCCCCCGGAGAGGCTGCACCGTCCACCCCTGCCCTGTGGCTTCGGAAAATGGGATTTGTATATGGCTGCACGCATGCGTGTCTAAGTTGCGTATCCATATTCACACAACCAGCCGTCCCGGGGCACCCCTGTAGTCACGTGGCTAGAACGCTGCGTTTGGACCACACATGCCAAGGTTACCCTGTGGAAATGAATCCCCGCCTAGTGATGTCGTCAGATGGTCCCCCGTGATGAGGGAAAATATATATACCTGGTGTGTAGAAAACTATATACCTGGTGCACGGAGACATGATCTCACCTTCAGAGGGAACTCCGTTTTCAATTTCAGGCTTAGATCCCCACCCTCGGTATATTTTATTTACAACACCTGGTCTGTATTTGTATATGCTGGTCATGATAAAATCGCTGTAACGCCCCACTGTGCTGTGCTGGATGCGGAGCTAGAAAACGTTGTAATAAATGAGACTTCTCTGAACATCAGGCATGTGGATTTTAAAGAGTTTTTTGGTAAGTTATTACGTTGCTGACTTTTATAGTGTGTGATATCAAGCATATTTTATTCTCTACTCAAAAAAAAAACAATCCTTAAGGCGATGAACTGTTCAATGTTTGGAATAAAAGAGCCAGTCTTTTCTGATGCCTTTGGTGCAATACTGACCCTTATTGTGCACTTGGGAGGGAGGGAGGGAGAGGTGAAGGTAGAGAGGAGGGGGCCGTGGCTGGGTCTCGTCCTACCCTGGCGGAAGTGACTGGAGGGCAGGGTGGGCTCCTTCAAGGTTATGTATCAGGGCGTGGCCCTTAACTGACATTCGTTCAACACAAGCAGATTCTATTCTGTGCTCTTGAATGAGACGGTCCGTCAGGTGCAGCCACAAGAGGAGACCCAGGGGAGGCCCAGGAAAATGAAGTTTGTTACCCTTGAAGTCCTTGACGTGGGAGGCACTTCCTGCCGCGCAGGCAGTGCCACGTGGGCAGCAGCAGGGTGGTCTGGAGGCCAAGTGGCAGGGGTCAGGGAGAGCCTAGGCCAGAGCCTGGTGTTTCCCAAAGCAGGGCGGAGCGGGGCAGGGTGCACGCTTAGCACTGGGTGGTTTGAATAATGTTAGCGGCCTCTGAACCGTAGGGGGTGGTCCCTGGTGGTCTGGGGCCTAGGCCTGGGAGAGTTAAGGTGAAGAGTATTGCCTTCTGGGTGCAGAGACCAGGTAGAGGAGGTCGGGCCCTGGATGTGCTAGTTTCCGTGTCACATACTCTGCCTGGGCCCCTTGCCACCTCTGGGGAGTCTCTCCCCACCTCAAAACACTATAATAATTATACAGAAAATAAATGTATAAACCGTACAGCTTCCCTTGTCTGCATTCACTGTCCTCAGTTTGGACTCTCCTCTGTGAGCCGCCTGATTGGTTTTTCATTTAGAACGAACCAGTCCGAGCCTGGACTCGTTCCCCCGATCACTTGAAAGGTGATGTACCTCGTGTTGGGTTTTGTGCATCGCTGGCCTGCATGAGACATCCTGCTGATTTCCCTGCATCAGCCTGAGTGTCTGGGGATAAATATTTAAGAGGATTGGTCCCTAAATGGGTTAAAAAAAACAAAACAAACCCGGGGCCACAGGCTGAGCAGCTCGTGAAGCCAGAGCCAAGCGGGCCAGCCGGGCGTCTTAGAGTTAATGCTTGTGTCCGTTAAAAACAAAGCAAGCCCTCTCGTGCACTTGAACGTCACCGATTGATTGATTCCACCTCTGATTTCAGACTGTATAGGCCCTTTTATCTTGTAGAATAAAAATAAGCATGAACTGGGTCCTGTCACCAAGCACACGCCCGTCTTCCTCCCTCTGGACATCTGTGGCCCGGCGGGCGCTGAGTGGGAGCAGGACTGGCCGCTTCCGTGGGCCTGGGGGTCTCTGCCCTGAACGGAAGTGCTTGAAACACCATTAGCATCTCCCTCCTGCTCCAGACCCCTTTTCACACTCCTGCTACAACCCGAATTGGTGGTGAGGCATCCGTGCTCTGGTGGGAAGGCTCGGTGTCTGCGGGAAACCTGAACGTGACTTGGTAGAAGGGATCGCGGAAGCCAGCAGGCCCTAGATGGCCACCTGGGGGCACAATCAGGTTTGGTTTGGAAGCACAGCCTTTCAAAACTTGATCCCGCCGGTTTGAGGTTTGACAAAGGCCTCTCCGGCTGGTGCTTGTCTTGGAGACCAGCCAGGGGTGTTGATGGCTTGTGGGGAGGGGCAGGAGTGCCCTCCGGGGAATGTTCGGGCACCCAGGTGCCTCCAATCCGCACAGCCCAAGGTCAGACATTACTAACCAGCTCGAGGGAGGGAGCAGTTTGTGGCTCTTTGTTCCGTCTGAGAACCAGTAGGTCTGTGGTTTTTAAAGTCCAAAGAAGCTCTGGCACCAGGAGGCTTGTTAGAAATGCATGTTCTCGGCACCCCCCCGCCCTGCTTAGACCCACTGACCACACCAGGGGCCTGGGTCCCACATCCCGGGCTAGTAAATCGGCCCCAGGATTCTGATGCATGCTCAAGTTCCAGAGGACACAGCTGAGGCCCAGATCCTTTCCCAGAGGGCCGCTTCTGTACTGCACCAACCTGGCCTGGCCAGAGTGACAAAGGACCACCTGCAGGGGAGAGGCCCTGGAAACCCAATATGGGGGCTTGACTGAGTCACCGGGCGTTGCGGTAACCCTTTGAGGCACAGCCGCCGGCCCCAGCCACCTTCCCCGGCATCTCTGTGGGCTGGTCGCGGCCAGCAGGGGACTCTTGTGCGAACGGCAGACCGGGGCTGTGCCCAGATTTCTGATGGCTCCCTTCCTCCCCCAAATTGTGGGAGCCTGGGGGGCCTGTCCCCATGCCAGCCCTCTTTTCACTGGCGCAGGAAGTCCATTCAGCCCAGCATTGCCTTTAATGAGTTTTGCAAGCAAGTGGCTTCTTCCGGTGACTCACTCCGCCTTTTGTGCCCCCGGAGATTGTGGTTTTAAGTTTCACTTTGGAAAGTAACCACCACTTACTTCTGCCGCTTTCTCCCGCCGCTGGAATCTGAACACATTACATTCATTTTGCAACAAAGAAATGTAAATGGAGGAGGGCCAGTCATAGTTCTGCTCTGATTGTAAAAACATCCTTTTCCGAGACGGATGACGGAGCCAAGCCCAGAAGACACGGTTTATATGGCTGGCAAGTCACACGTTCACTTTGGGAACTTCGAATGTTTCCTTCCAGAGCGGCTTGAGAGTTGTGTTTTTGTTCTTTGTCTTCTTGATTCATAGTTCAGGGAGAGCCTAAAAATAAACAGCGCTTGCTGACTCAGTGAGGTGGTTAACCTCTGATTTATCGAGAGAGACTTAGTTCTGGACCAGAGTTTGTGTTCTTGCGTTCACGCGGTGGACAGAAGATGATGCGAGGAGAGGTCATGTCTTCCACGGTAACATCGGCCTCGTCTCATTTTGCATAGAACTCAGTTTATGGTATCTGAATAGATGCATTTCTTAGGGACTGGAGGTGATGCTAGTGGACAGGCCCCTAGGCAGTACTTTTTTTTCCCTCCAGATAATACATACGGTCATCTTCAACATGACTACATTAATTATATATACTACATTATTTTTATATAAGTTTATGTAAATAGGCACAGACATAAAACCATAGCCCGTATGCAATAGTAACACCAAAATGCATTGAAAAGGGAGTACAGCTAAAACTATAGCAGTAACAGAACTCAGATTAACACGAATGTTGTATCATGGAAAATCGAACCTAGTGGGATGAGGTGGAATTCAGGTTTATAATAGAGATATTTGGGCTTCTTTTTAATATTTAAGATTCTTTGGACTATTGAGCCTGGTAAGCCACCATTCCAATCGTCGTTAACATTGACTTTCACAAAGTACAGCAGTTGGAAAGTTCTTATCACACGTTTCTGTCTACACTGGCTGCCAATGAACTGTTACAGAGTCATCAAGCATGGGGGACAGGGGGCTTCAGTAAATCCTCTCCCAGGACAAATGTGGCACCAACTCGGACTCTCGTATTCAGCTGCGGACTGCATCGCCCAGACTCCACGGTCCTAGTTTTCTCTCCCTGAAGTGTCTCAAGAGCTCCGTGCGGACATCACTGCCATCATTTTGTGTCCTTAAAGCATCAGCGCACTTGGGGATTGGGGTGGGGCGCTCCTCACTCTTCTCCAAGGTTCTGACTGATGGAGCACGCACTGACTCACACGAGCCCCCGTGGGTCAGCTTTACTGTCCAAAGTGATAGAAGGTTCTGAAGTTGCCTGAAGCTAAACTGAGGCTTTTAAATATCTCACCCCCAAAGCTGGAGAATGCCTCCCCTCTCTGGCTCCGCGGAGGTGGGGGGCTTCCCAAGGAGTCTCTTCCCTGGTGTAAAAGCAGCCACTGGGACCTGGGCACCTTGGAAAGGGAGAGAGCCAGCTTCCTGCCTCGGGGCACGGCTGGGCTGCGCTCTGGTCGTGTGGACAGAGGCTCAGAGATCCCGCCAACCCGAGCTGCCCCGTCGTGGGGAGGGGAGAGGGGCGCTGAGCAGAGACGCCAGGGCAGCTGCTTCCAGACCTGCTCGTGCGTGGTCACTCTTGTGATGCGGAGCCTCCTGTGGTCTACACCCGCACCCTTCAAGGGGGGGCCGGTTCTGCTCCTAGAGAGCCGAGGCTATTTTGAAACTTGGAGATTCGGTTTTGTTTGCTTCGGGAGCAAGTTGGGATGGTCAGGTGAGAACCTTTGCATGGAGTTAGGGGGACCCTGGGATGGGCGGTGGCTTTCTCTGGGGACTGGGGATAGTGGCCTGGCACTTCTCCAGTCCCCGCCTCTTGCAGAAGCTGCAGCGGGGGACCCGTGCCCCCACGCCCATGTCCCAAGGTCTGTTCCAATCCACTCAGCACCCAGAGAAAAGGTGGGGGAGGGGTCTCACCCAACACTCTGAGATAAGTGGGACCTTGGTCTCTTCTGTCCCACCTGAGCTGCCACCCCAACCCACCCCTGCAGCACCCAGACCTGGGGCTTTCTCAGGTACCCTTGACATTGCCATGGAGGAGGAGGAGGGGACAGTGGGGTGATCGGCATCATCTCATGGCAGTCTTCAGCCAATGTATAAAATGGAAACCAGACACAAGGCATAGCTTGGGAAGGTCGGTGGCCAACAGATGAAGACAGGAGCCAGAAGGGCAAACGTCGACAGAGCTTGTCCTCTGTGTCTGAGGGAGTGTCTCATCCCAGCAGGTGAGTAAAGCCTGGCTGTTTGGAGGCAGTTTGCTTATAAACAGTTGAGAAGCTTGTTCATATGTGCAGTGAAGCAAGTCCTGAAGGAGCTTCCCACCGGCGTGCCTGTGGGCTATACTTACACTAACAGCCCTGAAGCCTCTCGTTCCGGTTACGGAGGACCGAACGTTGTCTAGCGACTGGCTGGCCTCCCTCCTCGCTGCACGTCTCAAGCACCGCTTAGGCCTTGCCTCACCTTCCCAGATTCTCCCCCAAACTGGCCCACACGTAGCTCTCTGAAGGGCCGTGGCCTCATTCAGATCATCCAAACTTGCGGAGCTAGGCCTGGCCCGGCCAGGGAATGGGGACTGTCCCGCATCATCCTCGGTCCACCCTGAGCCTCACATAAGGACACGCTCTTATATTTCTT